TAAATCGATCTAGAAATCTGATATAATCTATCGGGTGATACTATCGCAAGTATCCTCCAAAACTCACTTATTCTCGTCTTTTTATAAATCATTAATTTAACCTAACCGTGTGTAACACTTAAAATTGAACAGTGCAAACTAATCGACAAGTTTATATAAATAGCAATATTTCATTCAAGTGTGCAAGTATAAAAAAAATTTTATACTAATTTTTTTTTTATATTTTTAAATTGCTTTAAAAACAAATTATTAGGAATCTTTTATTAAATATTTAAAGTTTTTTCTTAAAAATAAACATTTATCACATACACAAAAAAAAAACTACAATGAATGTTAAAAAACTATTAACATATAATATAGTATACCCATTATTTGAATTTATTCATTAGAACTTTAAGAATCAATTTATCGAAATTCATGATTTTATAATATTGCATACATTTTCCAAAAAAGCAATTAAAAAATATGAATAATTCTTTTTATATGTTAAACAAGTTGAAATGGCCACTAATACAAAAGCTATGCAATCGTTTAATCATCCATTTCTAAAAACTTCCAGAAGAAAATATTTCTTTTTTAAATCAGAGTTTGTATCTTTTTTTTTTTTTTTTTTTTTTTTTTTTATTAGCTATTAGTTGAAAACTATGATAGCTCGACAATTACAATTGTACAGGTACAAAATTAAACATTACAATTATATGATATATAATAAAATGTTACAGTAATAATATGAATTGAAGACCTATAGGTACAGTAATTACATTTACTTACTGGCAATTGAAAATATTTTAAATCAATTTAATTATATGATAAGAAAGGTAATCAGAGTATCGGACTATGGAACAATCTGTTTATTTAAAACAGCTGAAAGGAGCGTAATGAGGGGAGTGATTAAAGAGGAAAGTTCTGATAAAAATGTAGTTAGTGGATTATCATTTGCGTGGATATTGGATAGAGGTATATTTTTGGAGTTAGTAACGGAGGCGTAAGAAGTTTTGGGAGGGAGAGGGGGAGTTTGGAAATGAAGAGAAGTGGGCACCGAAATCGGATTCTGTGGTTTTGATTGAGTGATTTTGCATCGTTTGAGAAGAGCTTTGAAAATTTGACATCCTTTGTAATTGGAAGTGTGATTACCCTTGCATAGGGCGCACTTGACTGGACTGGTTTTGGGTTTGGTGCAGACTTCGGTGTGGTGGTCACTCCCACATTTGACACACCGTGGAGGATGGTGGCAATAATTTGCGGTGTGACCGTAGTTTTGGCAGTTACGGCACTGAGGTGGACCACTCTTTGTCCTATATGGTAGTTCGACTTAGTTTGTATCTTTATTCTATATGCCTTAATAATTAATATTCTATTTCCTAATGAATCTAATTGTAAGTCTTTATAGATTATAAGTAATAAAAATCAAACAACAAATTCATACTGAAGTTTATTATTACCAAAAAGTTAATAAAATATTAATTAAATAAAAAGTGTTGCCCGGCGTACAGTATAGGCAAAATAAGTACTTTACTGCAGTTTTCTATGTTGTCGATAATTTTATCATGTACATTTTAGCTAATCTTAATAACTCCGTTCGCCTAAAGAATGTAGGTTGTTGGCACAAACCAAACGTCCAAATCTCCACTCCTTAGAACCAGTTGTGTACACAAGTTAACTACATATTTTCTCACCGAATGAAATACAATATGTATATATATATATACATCAACATAATACATTAATACGAGAATATCTGAACACAACAAAAATCGGTACAATACAAGGTTTGTCTATAAAAAATGTATAAAAAAAACATAAATTAAAATTTCTAAAATACTATTGAAATACTATTTAGAGCTAAAAGCTTAAGCTATTAGCTACTTATTATTTTTTAATAGTTTGGGGCAGAGTAGACGTTTGCACATAGTTTTTCGTTTGTTTAGGTCAATTGACAAATTTAATTTAAGTTGAATACAATTAAGTATGTATTTTTAGTACTACACACAAGTGCACGATTCGTCAATAATATCTATGTTCGATAAAACATTAACATTTTAATAATTAAAAATTAAAATGGTGAGCAAGTAGATACCGTTCTGTTGCAGAATGATAGGGGTCGAATGGGTCGCGGTCCACAAATGTGTTATATCTGAATTCAACGATATAGCATTTGTAAACGAAAAACGATTCTAAGCTGAGACGGTCAGTTCAATCACTAAGTTCATTTAATTATGAAATGTTTTTTGATATAACTATTAAATTAATTAATTTTGCTATCAGTAACATATAGTTAAAAGCATACAATAGGTTGAATTAATTTTTGCCGAAAATAGTGTGTTAAAAATTATCATCATGTGAATAAAATGTAATAATAAACGTAAAAGTTTGATGTTTATGTCCTCGCTCAAATAATGTTATTGAACTATTAAAATATGATGAATAACCGTTGTTCGTAGATTTTAATTTAAACCTTCCTAAAACATAAACTCAAAATCCAATTTTCCATCTGAAACCCTCCTCCAAAGTTGAAAATCAGAGCCTATTTTTGATTACTTATCCCTTGTCGTATAAGTGTACTCGTATACATTTACAATAAAAAAACACATATAATTGTAAAATCGATACACTCATATTATCGCTCCGTTTAAAATTTAAAACAAAAACAAAAATAACGATTTTTATTAATACGCGTCTAGCTATTTATACCAATATATTCAATATAATAATATGATGTAATAGATTTATAGGTATATAATATTAAGCATAGGTACCTTTTCACACATAATAGGCTTACGACTTCTGTTTTGACTTTGGAACGCGCTTTATGTCAATTCCATTCGCGTAAGGTCACGACGATTCATCGAGAACTCGTCGATCAGTCTTTATTCAATATTACAATTTCAAAGGTATGACGTAATCGTTTATGTTATCTCATCGATAATTTTTGTTGGAAGTAAAAAAAAATCACTTGACACTAATCTTAAAAACGTTTAAGACTGCATTACATGAACAAGGTATATAGTGTTGATGTTATACTATAATAATTTATTAATATGTCTAAAATTATATTATTATTAATTACGTTATCTAATATTTCATTTTATAATCGTTAGGTAACTGTTTCTGACAAAAGTCGAAAAATTACGTTTTCCATAAATGACTAGATAAATAATATAAATATAATAAATCATAAGTTATTTTATAGATCTCTTTATGATCTCATGTGATCTGGTTTTCTATTTTAGATTTTCAGCTGTTTTCCACTTGCAATATTTAACATTAACTATATAAAGAAATCTACTAGTTAATAGATTTAGTAAAGTATGTTACATATCTTGTTCCGAGACTTTTATTATGTTCAAATAATCAAAATGTAAAAGACGATTTAAAATCAATTATTTTCGTAAAAAACATAATTTTTAATAAACTGTCATACAATCATTTTTTTTTTAAATATTTGTACTGATTGTAAGTTGTAGTTTATACCTGCGTGCTGTATCTTATGATGACAATATTTAAAATAAATAATAAAAAGTATAAACTAATAAAATCAAGTAGTATAATAAGTGTATTGTGTTTTCTTTTCATTCTTTAAATTAGAAATCAGACGAATCAAAGAATAATAACAATAAAATAAAATTGCACCACTGAATTTATTAATTCCATGTAAATTTAATAAATTCAGCGGTTGATAATATTTTACTATCAGATAATATGTGTATACCACGGCTTGAAATACACAGCATATACATAGTATATAGTGAAACCTCTAAATAGCGGACACTTTTGATCACCGAAATTTTGTCCACACTTGGAAGTGTCCGCTATTCAGAGGAAATACATTTTTCAAGTTCATAAAGGGTAAATGTATAAAAGCAAAAAATATGTGATAGGTTAAATTAAATTATAATATTATTATTTAATGTTTTGATGATATAATAATTTCAATATTTTAACAATATACATTTAAATAAGTATAAAAAAAAAAGAAGTGCATACATACATAAATACAATTTGGTATGAAAAAAATTGGTTTTTGGACGAGTTTGTGATCGCTATACTAGGTAAACACGTTTTTCTGTTATTGTTTTGTCATTATTTTTAAATTTAAATTTAAATAGGAGTCCGCTATTAGGTTTTTCCTTTGAAAAGTAATGAAAATTTACCCAATCCCGAATAAAATCTGCTATTAAAAGGTATCTGTGAAGGTAAATTTTAATGTATTTTAAACCATCCATTATATGTATAGAAATGAGTTACAGTTAATTTTAAAATTTAAACATAATTTATTGATTTAAAAAATTCAAATTTATAAGAACTCATTTACTTTATCTACAATTGTGATGCAACATATATACTTTCCATTGATTTGTGGAAGGATCAAGGAACAATATGTGCGTTTTTTAAATGCTATAAGTAATTTTAATTTCAAACCCTTACAAATTATGAGTATAAACTTAATTGCTACATAATAATTGTTTAAAAATTTTTCAATATTGTTTGTAAATACTATTAAGTATTAATAAGTAAGAAATAGACATACAAAAAAGATTATTCATACTAAAAATGTTGATACTAATAACCCATAAGAATTTTAAATTTATAGACGTATGCTTAGTTTCTTGTAATAATATGAGAATTGCAAACCAACACAAATCAAATATAATGTTGTCTATGATAAAAACAATTTTATAGACAGATTTCAGAGACTTACTAACCAAGAAATAGATTTTTGAATGAAACTCAGAAGTTAATAATAATTTATACCTATAAACACATAAAATTACAAATTAAATGAACTTGACCCAAGTTCAATTTAGTAGGAAATTTGATATATTTTTAGTCGTTAATAATAAAATATAAAACATATTTTGTTTTGTATACAAATATAAATATGATCTGTAATTGATTATTTCTTAAATAATTTAAAATATAAATACATTATAAGTAAAAATAAATTAAATTCAATATAAAGGCAAACTAATAATTTTTAACGAGTAATATAAACATATTTTTTTCTTTATATTAACAATTATTAAACAGCCTAAAATGATGAATGACATACCAAGTGTGGTTTAATGTCATCATTTTTTAACATTTTTGATCAAATAATGAATATTGGAATAGTAAAGTACTTTGTTAAACGTTATATGTAGATTTAATTTCATTCATTAAATTATCAACTAATGTTTGTGATGTACATTTCGCCTCAACAGAAACGTTGTTTAAATTTGATTTAACCAATAAACATAGTTGTTCACTAGATGCATTGGAGCCATAAAGTGAAGCAGTCTCACCAACACGTTCCACTAATACTAGATGGAGTTTAGTGGAAAACCAATTAATAACTTGGTTAAAATTAGTGCCAGATAAAATAACTGATGATTTGTAGACTAGTTGACCATTACATAGTAGCTCAACTAATGGTACAGATGGAGCAACTTTAAGAAACATATCTGATACAGCTACAGACAATCGCCAGTCTAATTTATCTTGATGAAAATTGTCGTCTTGAAAAGTCTAATAAAACACACATAAATAATATTTTAAATTTATATTTTCATACTTGTTTAATTAGTTACAATCATGAATACAAAAATAAGCCCTGACTTCTGCGACCTATAGTTAGTATTGGTAATCAACACTGCACTGTTATGCAGCCATTAAATATTGTATTCGCAGAAAAAAAAATGAGCAATTGCCGCATGGCCAAACAGAGTTCAATACAGAATTAACAAATATTTTGTGTCTTTTAAATGCCTTAAAATATTATTTGTTTTATTTTAATACATGATAACCACTACAAAAAAACTACCGCTTGGTTTATAACAAACAGAGTTAATTTTTCATGTTTGTGACTATAATAGATTAAAATAAAGTATAATTTTTTTTTAATTCATTATCCAATGAGTAGAAAATTTTACAGCAATAGTTATGTCACATTATTTAAAATTGCTGATTTTGAAATAGAACAATATCAGCAGCATTAAAATCTAATGTAATTAAAATGGCCTATTGTAGATTTTCCAAATTTTTATAACTCTATAGTTTAAAAATAATACTTAAGTCATCACCTTAAACATAATATTTTTATTTTATTTTTTATCTACTACCCATTACCTATTAAAAGAGAGTTAATTTTAAAAATATGTACATTATACAAAAACTCTCATGCTTCATAGTATTGTCAAATTTTGATAACTACATTTTTAACTGAAATAAATTGACTTTCTACATCCTACGTTGAACATTGATTTTTTTATTTAATTTCAGATAACGGTATGTAATAATTACTAAAAAAAAGGCTTAAATTTTTTTTTTTTTTAAAGACATTAATAAAGTTTGAAATTGAAATAATGAAACATAGAGTTTAATGCAAGTCGTAGGATATTTTCCTCTATTTATTAAAAAAAATCCAAATGTTATTGATTTCTCAGGACAGGAACATTATTCCTGTGTGTTATATTTTGAAGATAAAATGATCATGATGATCCATTAATAATTGCTATAGATCTATTTGTTTTTATCGGAACATAAAAAAAAAATATTCACCACTTAAGCAAAGTTGGGGATACAGCTAGTATTATATTAGTATTAATAATTGTAATTAATTTTAAGTAGTGATATTTTCAAGTAAATCAAAATAATGTACCTAATTAAAAATATGACTCTGAATTAGAGTTGACACACTACATTGTATATTAATAAAATCACAAAAACCAAAAAACCTTTCAATATATTTCAAATTATCATTTTTTTTAAATTATAAATGTAATAATCTAAAATATTAATTACATACTTGTGCCATATATGTCAATGTCCCTCGAAGAGTATTTGGAATAGATATATTTTCTACTTGAAGAGACAAGTCAAATTCAGTTAATGAACCACACTGTATGTTATTATTAAGTTTGTACCAAGATAAAGGTTCATTTTTTCTAAATTATAAAATAAATTTACAATAGTAAGTAATTATTAATATTTAATAACTTTATATTCAGATTAAAATAATAATATATTTACTTCATCTAAAAATTGAATGGCAGTGGAATTATTCACATCAATTTCAATGTTTTTGATCAAACAATTATTACCCACATTTGTGAGACGAAAGAATACAGTCGCTAAATTGCTTAATTCATTTTTTGGATCTATTTTGTACTCCTTGACATTTCAATATTGAAAAATAGAAAAAAATGTATAATTAATTCAAGATAATATTAGCACAAACTTTTTGAAATAAAATAGATAAATTTAATTAATTTATATTATTAATATATTTACCAAAAGTATGTATTTGTCCATTGCTAATTTGATAAACGATAAATCTTCTGCTTGTACAACTTCTTTGGATGGTGTGCAAATCCCCAATGCTTCTTCATAACCTTGTTTAATTTCAATCAATTGTTGATCACTTTTATCTAATTTTCTTAATTTTTTTGATTTTTCACTCTTCTTCTTTTTTTCTTTTTCCTTCTTCTTTTTTTTATGTTTTTTTTCTTCAACTAGTGGTGGGGGGCGTTCAATTTCAGGAATATCTAAATCAATATCTAATGCAGTATGTGGGTCATTTATGTCTTTTTGCACATCTATGGCTCCATCAGAATCTTCAGCACCGTCTGGCATTTCTCCTATATCTCGATTAACTACCATTTCAATTGCAATTTCTTCATCTTCTTCTTCAAAATGGTTAATTCCTTTTTTCTTTTTTTTAGACTTTTTTTTATCTTTTTTTTCCTTTTTTGCTTTAATGTATTTATCAGATGATACAAAACCTGATACATTTAATGAGGTAGGCAGATCTATGGATGTGATAGGAATTTCACAAGTTTGATCAATACTTGAGTTTAATTTCAAATAATTGGGATTATTTTCTTGTTCATAAAGTCGAGCTTTTCTATTCTAAAATTTTAGATAATAATTTTTAATTACTGATACATTATAAATTAAAAATATTTACCTTTTCTACTTGATCTGCTGTATTTGACATATTTTCTTCTTCTTCTTTCTTATCAAAACCACCCAAATTAAAAAAATTGGAATGATCATCTGACTGATTGTCATCTTCACTTTCAGAAGAACTTTGTAATGGCTCATTGATCCATTGATCCAAATCCAACCTTAGTTTTAAATTTTAATTAAAGTTATAGTTAGTTATGATATATTATTAATTAATTAAATAAGAACATACCCTTCTGGTACTTGCACTTTGCGTTGGGCCTTAGGTGCAACTGGGTTTAATTCTCCATTAAATAAATATGCTACTTGAGTGCATATATCATCAGCATTACCATTTTCTAACTCCTTATGAATGTAACTGATTAACTGCAATGCAGCGCTTGCACGTTCTTGAACTTCTAGATCTCCACTAGATACATATTGTGCCAATTTATCTGATACTCGTTTGCACACCTACACCAAATGCTTGTTAATTTTTTTTTTTTTTTATAATAATTAAATAAGAATTATACTTTAATTGATTGTTGAATATCTCCTTTAGACAATATTATAGACAATACTTTCATTATATTTTGCACATAGGCAGCTTGAATATGGCCTGGTAGTGAATGCACTTTACCAGTTAACATAGAGAAAAGAGTTTCTTCAGGTTTTTCTAGTTCACTATAACAAATAATTATAACTTATAAAATATAAACAAGTTTAAAAGACAACTAATTGCTTACTTGGCATATTCTCCACATATCCAAGCTGCAGCATAAAGCACATTAGCCATATTCGAACCACCAGAAGGTTGCATAAACATATGAGCATTATTAAGAAGTAGAGACATCTGTCCAACAGCAAATGGCCTTATAGCTTTAACTCTGACAGCAACATCCAACATTTGATGCGCTAACAAGGGACCATGTTTCATGCCTTCTACTCGAGCCAACTCTACTAAGACACTAACATACCTGAAATTATATATAATATTTAATTTAATTTAAATTGAATACAAAAAAAAATTAAAATCAGACCATTCAAAACTTGTAATAAAATGATAGTTATCTTGTGAACATATATCAATTATTTTGACGAGCAACTCATCACGATAAACTGTGCCTTCTGCTTTATCCATATGAACCATGAGTTTTTTTACTATTTCCATTAGATTTTTTTTTGAGACCTGAAATGAAATAATAATATATAATTAAAAATTTACAAAGATAATTGTTACAAATTCACCATTCCGTAAAGAAGATCTAATGCTCTAAGTCTGATCGATTCATCTTTATCATCCAAACAGATCATAATCAAATCTTTATGAGCTTGAACTGACTTAGGGTGAGTTTTTAATATTTTAGACATAGCTAGTAAACCCAAGTATTTCACTAAAACATATATTCAGTATAAAGTAAGATAAAATAAAAATAAAACTATGATATGCTTACAGTTCTGGTCAGAATCTTCGATTAATATTCTTAATTTTTGAACACATAACTGAAATAAAATTTACTATTTAGTATATTATGTTTAAATGTATATCAATTTTATTATTTTCATGATATATTTCAATACATTTTTAGGCACTTAAAGTTAGATATTTTTTTTACTTTTAAAATGTTAATATTTTTTTATAGATAATAAGAATAAATTGAACTTAAATTGTATTAATAAAATAATTGTTAAACTATCATAATCACTGACTAAAAGCTAACCAAATAAAAAAAAATTGAACTAAAATAAAAAATAAAATGATATTACCACTATTTAATATTTCTTCTAAATAAATTACCTACCTAATAAAATAATAAGTAATTAATGAACTAAGAAAATTATTAAATACTCCGTATAACATTTTAAAATATAATTTAATATACAACATTAACAGAAAGGGTAAACATTTTTAAGAATAAATAACTTACTTTAAACATCTAAAATGTAAAAAAAAATATAAATAATAGATAATTATCTTATATTTAGACTAAATAATTTTTAATGCATACATTATATGTTTATTAAACTGAAGTTTTCACCTCATATGTACACTTATTTTTATCTTTAAAATATCTATTCAAATTCTCACTTTTAAGTATACTCAAGACCATGTTATCAAATACTTTTTTTTAAGAAATTAAATTACCCAAATTAGATCTTTTTAACCAAGACTAACCTTTTTTACAATAAATTGTTAAGCAAATAAATATCTCAAAAAAATTAATGTACATAAATCAAAATTAAAATTAGTAGTTCCTAATTAAATAAACTTTATGAACTAAGAATACACCTTAATAATGATTTGAATTAATAATTTAGTATAATAATATTTTTTATGATAGCCTCTATATATTTTAGATAAATTATCAAGGAATACTATCTTTAGTATGTTTATCAAGTTAATAACTCAGAAAATAATTATTCAAATTGTAATTTAAATTATAAGTACATAAACATTTAAAAAAATCTTTTGTTCAACTTTTTGTAGTAAAAAAAAAAAAGAGAAATCATCATTTGAAAAAAGAAGTTTGTATAACTTCAAGAAACAAATTAAACAACACAAATATCTAACTATTTGAAAATATTTTCTATAAGTATACTTAAAAATTCCAAAACCCAGAATATAAATAAATACATTAAAAGTAAAATGGAGTTGAGCATACTTGGTAAATCATCTAATAAAATTACAATATAATAAAAAATATATTACTTGAATGGAAGCACTATGATTTGGCATACCAGATGAAATTGAGATAAGAACTGTAAAAATTAACATAATATTAAATAATAAAAGTTAAGAAAATTATATAAAAATGAATTAAATATAATCTGAAAAAAGTAAATAGTACATAGAATAATACATTAAATACAGACTTAAATTCACATCTTGCTTTAAATTATTAATTTTTTTCATGTAAGAATAATAGGGTACTTACCAGCAATCACAGTATTAATGCATTCATATAATAATGACATGGCGGAGGTACTGAAAAGAAACAATCAAAATTTAGTTTTTTATTTTTAAGATTTACTTTTACACTTAAAAATTATGTCAATACATGTTTTACAATTTTAAAACTATTAACTAATTTATCTAATCGGACTTATTTGGATTTTATCTAAACATTTTAATAGTGAACACAATAATTTAAACGACAGGTATAATTATTCTATAAATGTTTTAAAGCAACATAAAATTATATTTTAGCAATAGAAATTGACAACTTGACAACTAGTAAATAGGTATCCTAAAAACATATGAAGGAAGTTTAGAGGAAAACTTAAATAGTTATTATACATGAATTTATAATTTATGTTTTTACTGGTTAATTATTATTGCTAGGACAATTAAAAATAAATCCATAATTATAAGAATGCGATTAATACTGAATACCAATCTAGATTTACAAAGCATATTCATGTTTTTACAATCCTCAAACATACCATCTCCAAAAGTGAGAAATGTCCCTCAATTTATTTTGTCCATTTATAGGACTATTTGATAAAACTGAATTGTTTTTAGTAAATCTATTATCAGTCCTAATCCTACAAAAAATAATCCTTAATATATATATTTAATGAGTAGGTCTAAAATATTTTTAGAAAAATTAAAATAATTTATTTTATGAACCTAAAAGACTTTAAAAATATATTGAAAATAGCAATTAAAACCAACAATAGATAAAATCAAAAAAAATTAATCAGCTGATGTTTTTACCTGTGGATTAAGTTAGTTAGCGGCTCTATAAGTTTTTTTCCAAGACGTGGTTCAAGTGGGGTCAATGCACCAAACTAAAAAAAAAATGAATGATAATCATATACTAAAAAATTTATACTTAAAATATTACCAATTTAATTATTTTGATCAACATCCAATTATTAGTAGACGATGTCATTAATTTAAAAAAAACAGGAGCTAAACTCAAATAATTTTTTGGATTTTTTCTAGCTAATTCACAGACTACATTAACAGCAGCTGATTGAACACCACAATCCATGTCTTCTAATTTATCCTTTAAACGTGGAAATGCTGGTCTCAATGCTTCCGGAAATCGAAGGAATACTTTGTACATCATAAGCACAGCCTTTTTTCTTAAATATGGCTTTGTTGACGACAACTACAAAAAACAAAATTTACTTTCTACTATAAGTATTTATTAAAATATAAATTACCAATGTCATTATATCATTAGCCAAGTCTCTTGCTAAATCCGGACTAATAAAACAAGCAAGTGCAGAAAGAGCAACACCAGCATCATATTGATTTTGGCTATTCAAATCCTTCCGTATCATATTTGTTGTCAGCATCAGTAGCTAAAATATATTACAAACATAGAAAAGTGTACACAGTTATTAATAATAAATTATTTTTACATACATCTGTATCTGTATGGAAGCTCTGAGATGAAGCCAAGTAACCAATCCTTTTATAAGTAAATTTTGAAGAGCTCATAACTTCAATGATGTTAAACCCAGCCCAACTAATATCATATCCTAACATTTGTAACTGAAAAAAAGTAATAAAAATATTAATTTGATCTTATTTTATATTAAAAAAATTATTACATATGTGAGTTTAGCCACAGCTGTTGCTTTAACTGCTATATTCTCTTGCCGTAATTCCTGTTTAATCTCTTCCATACATTGTGCAATGTACTTCGCCTGCATCAGAATAATAATTAATTTAATAAACAAACACATTAATTAACCATGATATTAAAGTTAATCGATTTTTTTTTTCCCCCAATTCAATGTACATACCTCATTTTCTTTACTATTGCGGATACCGCGTACAAGATCAGTCAAATTCTTGTCAAACATCCGTTCAATATTGCCTCTGACTTTTTTCAAAGCCATTATTATAGAAAAAAAAAAATAGCAGATAATAAAACACTTTGGTCAGGTAGTAGTGTTCTAATAAAAAAATTATAGCATCTGTTGTTATGATCTGTTTATCATTTATCTGCAGCTTTTGCCGAATGCAAAAACCGACGACAATATGTTACAATAACGAACAAACATCGTAATTATTCGCAAGACATTAACGAACCCGCAAATTTCGGAACCTACCCGTTGTGTTGCATAATTAATTATTTATTATTATCAAACATTTGATGGCCCAAATGGGCACCTTTATATACGTGGATTGACCGGAACACGCTATAATCAGTAGGTAATGTATTATTGTACTAAACAGTTAATACTAATGCGGTGGGGTTATCACCATCGTCATAATGTCAAGAGATAAAGATAATATGATATGATGGATGAAAAAAAAAATTGTGATTATGCCACGCCACCACCGGGCACCGAGGAATATGTATATTATCATTATTATCCACCACGGTTTACGGCTATTCTCTTTCACTATAATAATAATAAAATTATTAATTTGTGGTTGACGAACAAAAGTTCGTGTTACTCATTTCAATTATTTTTAAGTGAGTAAATGACACGTTACCAAACGCAATGTAAATAAAATCTACATCGCGCGCTAGTACATCTATAGGTGCTACTAGAGAATTCAAACATTGGGAGTGCTGAAATTAATTAGGGCACATAAGCCTAGGGGGAGGCTACGTCCCTGAACTCCCAAACGCCATTTCAATATATATTTTTAAATGCCCTTAAAAACTAATATTTTAGTAAACAAACGATAACATACCTAATTTGTTCGTTAAATTATAATATAAATTATTTCTATTAAGGTACTAAGTAACAAACAAATTAAGAAAGAAAAATTTTATTTGTTGACTTTTATTAAAATAATTATACAAATTATTAAAAATTTTAATTAAAAATTAAAAATATTAATTATGTTTAAAGGTTTAAAAATAAATAGATAGTAAATACAAGTAACAGGTAAATGTTAAATTTATGTTATTTAATTTACTTAGCTTCATCAACCTAAATAGCAAAAACCTCTGCATTTCTAATTTCTTTAATAATTATTTCCCTAGCATAATCAACACTAATTTATATAATTTCTTCTTGAACTTTTCAACTCGTTTGGTTGATTTTTAAACTAAATATTGACCATTTATGGTAACATACCTGGATGTCCTACTGTAATATTTTTATCCAGTTCACAAGATGAACTTTAACAAAGGGTTCCAACTTCCAGAGTCATAAATATTTTTATCTTTCTCAAACTGATTATTTATTCTGTTTTTATTATTATTCAAACAAAAAATTACATTTTGAAAATAAAATACTTCAAACACTTTACATGAACATAAAAGACTACATTATAATAAAGCAAATACTTTATTTAAAAAAACGTAGAAATCTTCAAATGTGTTACATAATTGTAACGAACAGGCAATAGCTTAGATAGCAAGTAGCAACTATACTATACGTCAGTACGTCAATATATTATAATATAAATATACCTACATTATTATTTATATTTTAATAAACGTTAATCATATTATGTTTGAATAACAAATGCGTGAAATAACAAACATTAAATTTGGGACTGTTCAAATTAACTATAAACAGTATAAACATTAGTGATTATTGATTACTGATTAGTGACAATATTTCTTAGGTAGTCTATAAATAACCTATCGGATTTTCATTCTAATGTAGGTACAATAACAAATTAACTCAATCAATTTATCTGTCCGAATTTATTTATTCGTCATTACCTGTACGGCTGTACCTACTTTTACATGTTATTTTTCAAATTTTGGTATTTTTGAACTAGGGCTACAGAACATTACCACGCACCCCCTCCACCTCCAGTTACACCTTACACCTATGAATAAATGGGCATACGAACTTATTGACTATTATATCTCGGAGTTCGATTTTGCTCCGATACGAGTCGAAATCTTGAAACTTGGTAAATAGCAATAACAAACAGATTACATATAGATTATAGCTGGGTTACTCAATGATGTACCATGGGGAATGGACTATGGACATCTTATGCCTATGCGCAATGCGCAAAGAAAAATTAACACTTCTAAACTTGCAGAGAACGTCTTTTACAATAAATAATTACCTACTCAAATAGGCGATCAAACAATAGAGTTGTATTCCAAAAATTACTGTACATAGTATGACTAAATGAGTAATAAAGTGCTTTTAAAGCATGTGGACAACTCTAATAGCTTTAATTTATAAAACCTACTATAGATAAGCCAGAAGCTTTGTTTTGAATATTTAAGAAATGCTCATTAAATAATAGAAATGCATCAGATATTATACCTAGGTTATTATTTTTGTAAACAGTTAGGACGAATTTATTAAAAAAATATAATTGGTATTGCATCTGGACCGAGACATGTTCTATACTTAAACAGTTGAGCTTATATATTATTTAAAGTTAATGTACAGTTATTAAAATCAACAGAGAGAAAGTTAATATTTTCAATACTAGAAAAAAAAACTGTGTTACAACTTACTAATATTCGGTTAGTCAAATACCTATACTAAAATACTAAATAATAATAATTGAGCAAAACAGTTGGAAATATCAAAGCCATCACAATATTTTATGTTATTAATAGATTCTGAAATTTGACCTTTATTACCGATTAATTTCCAAAATAATTTTAGATTAATTTTTATAGAGTTTTAAGTTTTGGAGATAAAGTTATTGTAATCAAATGTATTTTGTAACTTACATTGTGCACGTACATTAGCTAAGAATTGGTTGTAATTTTACCTATTGGATTAGAGATAATTTATAAACTTTAATTAAATAAATGGTATATTTTCTTAATTTTATTTAACCACTATGGATATTTTAGTGTATATAAATATTTCTTCGGATATGACGAATCTATAATTTTAAAAATTGTTCGTAAAAAATATGAACTGCATTATTAATATTTAAATTGTTGAGTATATCATTCCAATCTACTGAAGCAATTTGCGATTTTATATTATCGTACCTAGTAATATATTATAGCATAGTTATAAATTTGTTTTATATAATTAAAAAGTTAAAATAATAAGACTAATATTTTAATTTAAAGTACTGGATGATAAATACGATCACAGAGAACATTATTTATATAATTATATCTGAAAAAAACGAGAACCAGCGTTGAACCTAACCAAACGATTATAAACCCAATTATGTTGAGTTAAAAATTAAATTAACACACAAAAGACTAATTAAAATATTTGAATTGAAATTATTTAAATCAGATAAATTAGAAATAACACTGTTGTTTGCAGAAATCTATTGAATATTTGGGAGATTGTAAATAGTAATCATCTTATATTAACAATAATTTAAAGTTAGATTTACATTTTAATATTTTATAATACCTACCACCTACGTGAGATTATCTATTACATCGAAACGTTTATTATGTACAGTTTTATCAGACTTGGTAGGTATTTGGTGGTAAATACACTATACCTATAATCAATGAAATTGAATTATGATTTATTTCTTTAAACAATTGTTTAATTTGTCATTTAGATATAGGTTGGGGAACTTGTTCTTAACTACGATAAGTATACCCCACCTATTATGTCAATACCACGTAGCTATGTTATTGTTGCATCTATCGTATCTACCTAATGAAGTATTTGGTATAGAGTCCAAGTTCAGCGTCAATTACGTTGCTTGACAACCAGGTTTCAATCGTTTCAGATAAGATAATAAATATTATTAAATAATAATAATCGAAACCATATCGGCAGTAACAAAAGATTTCAGAGATGTAGGAGCCATAAATTGGCATAATTATAATATAATGAATATTCATAACAATCATAACACTCATAATTCATAAATTTTCTATAAGTATAATACCACAACGAAAAAAGGTCGAAATAGATAAGATTTTAGGTATACTGTATACGTATATGACACACGATAACCCACAAGAATACTACACAGCGGTCTGGCCACCGCTGAATCGCAACTTAAGTGTAGGTAATAAGTAATAACTAATAAGATTTTCAATTGATAATATATTTTGGAGGCTGAGGTTTTATTTAATAACTTTAGACTTACTTGAGAAAAACATCAACTATAATAGGTTCTAATGCTCTAGTAACAGTAATCTTGGTTTAAAACTAATTAGATTCAATTTGTATGTAAAATAAAAGACATAATATTAATACATTATTATGTTACTTAATTGTTAAATGTATACCACAATTATTAACATAATAAATTGTAGTCATACAAAAAAAATTAGATATATAATACACAATGATCAAAGGGGTCACAAAGTAATAGCTAGTGACTACGTAGATATTTTAACAATGTAAAAATTAAAGAAAAAAAAACATGTTCCTCAAAAAATAAATTCTGGTTACAGCATTGATAATAATACAAACTACGTATTATATTTTTCTGCTAAAAAAAAAACCCATTTTTAAGATAAATCCACCGTTACATATTGGTATGTGGTTATCTATAAACAACAGAAATTAAATTTGATTTTTGATCAATCAATTTTCAACTAGACAACGGTTTTAAATTTTCTAAAACTATAAACTAGAGAACTAGATTATAAAGCACTAGACTATAAAATTATTATCATTAATAAAATATAGTTACATAAACAGTTCATTGAGGTTATCACTAGGCACTAGCAAATGCTGGTGCAGACGTGCAGACGTATGTTGGTACCTGGTGCCATAAAGGTAGATGCCACAGACTTCATACCAGACCTGATTGTCACTGACTATAATATAATGAATATTATAGCTTAAAGACTAAGGTAAGTAGTAGGAGGTACTTACCTATACAGTATACCACAGAATAAATTAACGTACTAATCCTAATATATACTAATATATTATACTAATTTATACCTACTCTAACAAATGTTAAAACTCGTATTATCACTATCATTGGCAACTAAATACATTTAACACCACAGACTATATTATATACATTTTACATATACGCATTGAGCCATTGAATATTGATAACTAGGCATGAACGCATTGAATATTAATAATTGGACATGGACGCATGATGCATTGGTGAACGGTTTCAAAAAAAAAATCTTTTTTAAAAGATTCCTGAAAAAAATCTCCAGTACGAAATTATAGGGAAATAAAGCAACGAACATGTTAAATTTTAATAAACATAATAAAAAAATGGGTATGCCGTATGCGAGTACTGCTATGCTATAAATTAGGTTTCGAAAGGATCACTGTAATTGATGTGTTAAATTAAAATTAACAAAACACTATTTTGAGCTGATACAATCTATACCATACAATTTATTAGAGCAATTTTACTATTATAGTATTACGGTAGGTTAATTAAATAATTGTTTCTAAAAATATTGCATTTATTATAATATTAGTATTTGTTACCTATTATAATAAATATGTACTACTATATTTATACCATATTTTATTTTTGTTTGAGTAAATACCACCGTATACCGTAAGTCCGTAAAACAGTGTTAACAAGTTTATGTCTTATATGGTATTCATATTAATGGTAATAACATAAACATTTTAAGACACTAAAAATATACAATAAATTAGGCAACTCTCTTAAAATTGTTGTATTAAAAATCAAAAATCTTTCTTTTAAAAACTTCCTGACAAAGTTATCAAACAAATAATAGCAGTATTTGGAAAGTCTCCAAGCAAGTACTTTATTATTAAGTAATAACCCCATCTATTGAAAAATCTGATGGAAGTTTTGCCTTATCAGACTGAGAAAGCTGAGGTATTTGAAAACCATTTATTTTGTTTTCCAACCTCACCAAGATATTTCACCTGTAAACTTAATGCGGTTCTTATAGGTATTTTGATTTATCTTTACCAATATAGGTACTCTCCAAATTAAACATATTTTGACGAGCGACATTTAATTTAACATTACAAAATACTCTCTTAAGAAATCGCCGGGCTTCGATCTAACAATTACTGAAGTGACTAAATACCTTCCAAACCCACAATCGTTCTACTTATTCATATTATTAATGTCATACTGAGATTGTTATACTTCCCAATTTTCACACTTATCGAAGTTCTTTAACATCACCCTTTTCCCAAAACCAAATAAGCCTCTTGGCTTGCAATAATATGTATGTAAACCTATTAGCATATTGCCATTTTTTACCAAAGTTCTTGAAACCTTTTTACTGAAGCACATACTTCCCCTAATTAATGAAAATAAAATTCTACCTATCAATTTGATTTTCTCACACATTCAACTATTCACCAAGTACATTGACTAGTTAACTCAGTTTCTTTTGCACTTGAAAAAAAGTCGTAATGTTCCTGCGTTTATATTGATATCTAATAGGTCTTCGATCGAGTTTGACATGAGGAACTGCTAGACAAATTAAAGAAATTTTTGTCCCCAACTTAATATACTCTTCTTAAGTCATATTTAACCGATCGTTATTTTCAAATCTATATATTCTAATATAGCAAATATCAGAATTGTTGTTCCATAGATAGACATCATTTTCCCAATACAGTATAACATCATATATATTCATATATATGCTTTAGATCAACCAACCACGCCCAACATAATAGTAGCAGACTATTAAAATTATCAAATTATTATATCTATAAATGAATATCCCATTGTCGCATTGCATAACCTACAAAATCATCTTTCTCTTATGGATATCTGGTATAATAAGTGCAGGATTAAGATTAATCAAACACTAAATCAAATCACACAACTTTTACTTTTCAGCTCGGACAATGTCTAACCGTTACTTTCTACGGTACTCAAATTCCATCTACTCAGACTGAAAAGTATCTTGGCTTGACCCAAGACCAACGACTAACCTTGGGCCATCATAAGTGTACAAAAAGACTTCAACTAAACCTACGACTTGGTATGCTTAAAACTTTACTAGCTAATAACAAACACGCCAACCTAAATATGAAACTACTAATGTATGAATCCTTCATCAAAGCCAATGGCCATTTGGATTTATGATCACCAATTTTGGGGAAATGCTAAAAAATCAAATACAAATCAAATTTGAACTTTTCAAAATATTACATTAAGGGAATTAACAATTCACCCATCATATGTATCAAATAATACCCCCAATAATGATGAAAACCTGTAAAAAAAGAAGCAAAACATATTATAAAAGATTTCACAATCGCCTAACCTCTCATTTCAATCTCTTAATTAAAGTTCTCTTAACAAATGTTATTTCTTGTAATCTTCCAAGTTGACACTTAAAGCAAAATTAGTATAGAGATCTTTTAACTTAATCAGAAAAAAAATAAAATAAATTAATTTAAAACAATTACTAAGAAATGTCATCATTGAGTAACTTCTTTAATCAAGTATTCATGTGATTTATATTACTTTAGCTAATACTTTAATTAAACATATAGGAACCAGATTGGGTAAATATCAATAAAGAAAATAATTAAATTAAAATATTTAAAATAAGTTAATAGTTAATTTTTTTTTTTTTTTTTGTAAGAATTAAGTTAAAATTTTTATAAATTCATCAGAATCATGAAAATGTGTGAATTATTTTGTAGTTACAAAATTAATATAAGGTTTCTCATTAATTTTTTTTACTAGAATTTAAGAATTTTGAACTTTGGTTATTCAAACGTAAAATAACAACTAATTGAACTACATTTAATTTAATTTAAAAAAAATATTATTATTTTATTAAAAATAAACAATAAAAAAATTACAAAAAGCTAGACTAGATTAGAAACAAATATATAAAATTAATATCCCACCAATAATAAGTTGAGAATTTATGATAATTAGTGATACCTAAATCACAAGTCTGTGAATTATAATTTTTAACACATCACTTTTATATAAATTATAATATTTATGTTCAAATCAATTTATTACTATTACATGAACATTGAACACACATCATCAACATAGATTATTCATACAAATAAATAAAAATTCCGATATAATAATTTTAAGTATTTTTTATGTATATACATCTAAATATAAAAAAACAACATATAGTAATTAACAAAATGTAAAAAAATTAAACTTTAATTTATGACTATATTTAAAAAAGAATTTAATTATTATACATTGCATAGAAATAGTCAAACTTAAATTAAAAACATAAATGATCTAGTCAGTCTAAAATAAATCAAAATTATGATTAATTTTTAATACTTAACATTAAAAATATAACAACTTTAAACTAAAAATTATTGACAGTTAAAGTGTTATACTAAAACAAAACAGTAAACATTTTCCATGTTACCTATTTTGATTTGTGATTAATTTGTTCTGAAAAAAATATTATATTTCATTAATTAAATTAACATAATAAAAATAATTAAAATCTTAAAAACATTGTTCACATGCATGACGTGTTATCTTCAATATGTAAAAATTATTTGAGTTTATCAGAACCAATTTTTGGTTGATAGCTTAAATATTAGAGTAAATTTACTTAATCTTAAACTTAAAGGTAAGAACATTATCAGCTATGTATAGATGTTTGGTTTTTTTTAAATTTTTTAATTTCTAAGTAACGTTGAGCAATATTTTTATCAAACTATAAATTCTTTATTTCAAAATCTATTAATGTTTTTGAAAAAAAATTATATTTTTTATTGTTATGACTATTTTTTTTCTTTTTTGAATGACAAAATATATTTTTAATTTCATATCCTGAAGCAGAATATTTTTTGGCGTATTATAATACATAAAAATTGAAATGTAAATGAGTAATTTATGAGTTATAATTTTATAAATATTTAAAGTTTAGGTAAATGGAGTAATAGGCTAACATTTGCAAAGTATCCTTGTACCTCTCTACTCCGCTAACATAAACATTAAATATTTTATTTTTTTTAATTGGTTTTATTTTAAAAAATTACGATTTATATAGTTTGTACAATAAGTAATATTTATAATTTACAGATAGTTACAGTTAAATGAGTTTATATTATATACACGAGGAAGAAATCACACAAATGCAATACCTCTTATCCTATTATTAAGTGTTTAATCTGTAAATTGTGGCACCAATTTCTTTAGAAGCATCTAGTTGGATTACCAGGAAGTATAAGTGATGCTTACTTGTTGATAAGTTGGTTGGTAATATTTTATAATTTGGCATGAGCGTTAAATAGTAAAAAAACAGTAGGTAGTTTTAATGATAGAAAGTATTTGAGGTTGGAATTTAAGGACTAATTTGAGCCAGACTAGGGTGCATCAGGAAAAAATGTAAATACTTATAAGTAGAGCTAGGATTTTAATAACTTAAAAAACCTAAAAAAATGACCTAATAAAAACTAAAAAATGATCAAAAAAAAAAAAAATACTCAGTAAGAAAAAATGACCTCATAAAATGATCGAAAAAAATATAATTATATTAATAAATTAATAAATAATAATTAATATGTATAAGTATACAAATAAATTCATCTTCTGGTATAATGGCCAGTGTCATTTGTTCTGAAATTAATATATTTTGAAGCATTAAATATTTTTAGAAAATATGTTTATAATTTTATTTTAATGTTGTATCTTTATATGTTTGTACAACAATTTATAACGATCAATAACAACCATTTAAAATTTTAAAAAATTAAAAATTAATAAAAATATAACCTAGATTTCAATAAAGTATAATAAAATGACCAAAAAATTGAAAACATGCTAAAAATGACCCTAAATTCAAAAAAGTACAAAATATGCAAAAATATGCAAAATAAAAACTATATATTTGAACTTGTAGATGACCAAATCACATTTTGTGCTTGAAAAGCTATATCCTGTAAATCCTAAAAAAAAGTGTAAAATCCTATACTATCTTAGCCCTGCTTATAACTTATAACACATACTACTCGTTTAAATTTCAATTTATATGTATCAAATATTTTTATATTTACTCCAAAAAATATTTTGTTTTAGAAAATGTAATTAAATAGTATGTTATTGTTTAAAAAAATAAAAACTTAAAAAATGTAGTTTTTCTTTAAAAATATTGTTTTAATTTGACTAGAAATTATGTAAAAACAAAATTTTATAAATGTTGATAGATTTTGAAACAATGAGTGTTGTTCAATAAAAGAATTGTCCTATAAATTGAAAAGGATCAACAAAACAATTGACAATTAAAAATCGAAAATTTTCTTAAAGTTAGATAATAGTAACCCTTTACTCTAATATTAAGCTAACAACACATTATTAGTTGTAAAGAACTCAAATTTTAAATGTTTTACGTTTATAAGACAAAGATAACACATGCATAAGTTCTTTTAAAATTAATATTGAATTTAACCAATGGTGGTCTCATTGTTGGTCATCATAGTGTTAATTGATGATGTTAAAATATGTATAACTAAGTTTTTGTTTAGCTCATCATAAACAAAGTTCTGATATTCTGTTTTAAACCATGATTTTAAGATATATATTGTAGGAAATTAAAAATTGATAATATAATTAAAAATCATACATACCGTTAGGTTTTCTTTTATAAACTTCTCCAAACCGTGACATATACTTTCTGATATATTCGGCAACTTTATCTTTTGTACTATCACTTATTTTTAATTTGTCCACTTTTTTTAATTGTAACTCTTTCAACAAAACATTTTCATTAATCTGCAAAAATAATATAGTGTTATCCATAAAAAGTGTTAAAATTAATATTTTTTAGTTACTTTTTTAGCAAGATATTTAAAATCTTCATCACTTCTTATACGTCCTTGTTGACAGGTCTTTTTAGCATATGATCCTAATGTCTTTACTATAACAGTAGCCATTGAATGATAGTAATCAATTACTTTCTTCATTTCCTTTCTATTATCAGGGATAAGTTTTAATACATCCACAGATAAAGACATCATACTTATAGGTATTTTATGTTTTCTTTGACTACGTAATTGGTCTAATTCAATAGACTTATCTCGTAAATGAATGCGCCTATTTCTTGATGCTTTGAATTTTGCAACAATAGGTGGAATAATTTGATCATTAGTTGAATCAAGACCAGGAATTTGCAAATTATCACCATTTTGAATATCAGATGTAGAAGGCTGAAAAATAGATTTAGGTTCATTTCGTATTTCAAATGGATGACATTTCATTAGAGGCTTTTGTTTCACAGTATTTTGATTCAAGTTAATTGGTCTTACTTCTGAGTGTGACAAATTTGGTGATGTCTCACCTTCTATCCAGAATGTAACTCTTTTTTCTTTAGGTCTTTTTAAATAATCATCCACATTAATACTACTTTGTCTCTTTAATGCTGATTTTGTTATATTGACGAGACAATTTTTTAACGCTGAACGATGTATACTACCTTTACGCATTATATTACGTTTTGTAGCTGGTATTTCATTACGGTTTCTTTTTAAACCTTTCAGTTTGATTCCCCATTGTCGTTTTAAAACAGGTGCAAAACCATTTTTAGTTTTTATGTGACCAACTGTTTTTTTTAAAACTTTTGGTTTCATATTATTGTACAATTCAATTTCTTTGTCAGTTTCATGATATGTAATTATATTTGAGTCGAGAGTTTTTGAAACAAATGTTTTTGGTACAGAGTTCTCATAATCGGGTACCAATACCTTTTTTAATAAAGAATTAAATATGGCATTTGCAAATTTATTTTCTTTAGATATTTTAATTTTCTCAGGAATTGGCACCAGATCTTCACTTAATGTTTTTGAAGTCATATTAGTTTCTTCGTTGATGAAAACAATTCTATTATTTTTATCACAAATAGTTTTCAATTTTATCTCAGACGAGGGTATCTTTTCAATTTTTGTATTACTATTTTTTTGTTTTAAATTTTTTACAGTAATTAATTTTGATGGCTGATTTTTAAAAGAATTACTAATAACTTTAATTCTTGCCAATAAATCTGCACCAGATTGCACAGCTCTAATACAAGGTTTCTTGGAATGTTCTATTTCTGAATTAACAACTTTATTTTTATCAGGATTATAATGCTTGCGTAAACTGTCATTGATTAAATTAAAGACATTAGTTTCAGCTAACTTAATTAAATTTTTTGTTGGAGACATATTAGGTGATTCAATATTTTGATGAACAGGCTTATTGTTTAATAAAGTGATATTTTGTAGTTGTTTTATTGATGGTTGACTAGATGTCTGTGGTGGATGAGTATTGGAAAATATTGGTTGATTAACTAGATGATAATTAGACAAAGCTTGAGACTGTACATACGAATACTGAGGAAACTGAATTAATGATTGTTGTAATGCTTGTGGTGGTATATAATTCAAACTAGAATTTGTTACATTATAATTGATTATTGAATCTGAAACAGAACATTATATATAATCAAGCATATTAACATATAAATAATTTAAAATAAAGTACATATAAACACATGTATTCTATAAATGTATATCTCAAAAATATTTATTAGTTTATTAATATGATATATATTGAACATATAACATAGGGAGAGTAAAGTATAGCAATGAATGGAATTTAAATTAAATTAGTCAATATCAATATATTTTTAAAGAAGAATGTTTTCACATGGTTCTATATTTATTGTTCTTTAATTTAGAACTTAAAAATATTAAGAAATATTAGTTATATAATAATTATTGTATTTAATATAGAAATTTAAAAAAATATTCAAGTATGGTAAAATAATTATATTACTTTGATCTATATGTGTAGCTTGTGATGAAAAATCCCATCTTGTCTGTTCACTAATTCCATTGTTATTGTTAAATGTTAAATTATTGCAATTATGGAAATTTAATATCTGAGAATGCTGTAAATAATTTTCATCAAGGTTTTTATTTACTACTCTTTCATTTTTTTCGTACCAATCATCCATCACTTTTTTCTTAAACCTAAGTCAGAAAAAATTAGTATGTCAAAAATATATTGTTGCTAAAATAATTCTTACATTTTTTGACGTTCTTGATCCACTTTAAATCGATTTTCTTTTCTTAATTGTGTACGATCTAAAAATATTGTTCGTTGATTTCGTACTTTTTTTATATATTTTTTTGAATGTCTAAACCTTGAATTATAAATATTTTAATTTAAAGTAAAATTATTTTATTTAGTATATTAATGTTACTTACGTATTCCGATTAAAAGTCGTTATGTTTAATGAAGATTGATAACAATCATCAATAACTTTACTTGAATTTATTTCTGTTATTCGTTTATGCTGATCTATTTTTTTAGGAATTCTAAACACCATTTTCAATACAATCCACTTTTTCCACAAAGCTCTAGATTTTTTCACCAGACTATTTATCATTTCATTATCATTTGGCAAAAATCTATCAATTTCTTGACAATGATTTTTAATTTCTGTAGCAGGATACTCTAAACTAAAAAATATCAAAATATATTTATTATTGAAATTTAACATAAGTTACTTAAATAAACATTTAGTTGAAAAAATTTTATTGCTTCTCTGTTATTCAATTATAGATATTAATTTTTACAAGATCAGTAAAATTCATCATCTTCATCCTATATAATTTGTGAAATTTTTAAAATTTTTAAAATAAAAATTTAAATGAAATTTTACATTAAAAAAAAAGACAAACTTTATCTTTGCATATAATAAATAAAAAAAAAAAAATCATTAAAAACCAATACATTTTTCACAGCATATAATCAAAATAATACTCATAAAAAAAATCATATTGAATGAAAGTAAAAAAATCTCTCAAATTAATTAAAATTAATATTTTATAGAACCTTTCAATTTTAGTCTTAATATCTTGTGGAATTTCAGCCCATTCAGCAACAACATCTAATACTTTTGATTTAGTAATTGTATTTCTGTTTGTAATTGGTAATTCAGCTAAGATTTCCAAAATCTGTAAGTTTTAAAGATGAATTATAAAATCGAAAAAATATTTATAATTAAGTTGAATACATTTACCATTAATTTAAATGATTCGTTTTCATTTGATGTCATCCAATTATGAATAATACTAAGTCCACTGAAATCCATAAATAACCTTTTGTTCATATCATGTTCTTGTATAAATGTTAAAACATGTAAACGACTGACACTGTCTGTAATATGTACCATAAGTCTATTCAAATTCAATGTTGCCATTTCTTGATCAGCTTTTAATCCAGTTTTTAATTTGGCAATATCTGTTAATTGTCTCCTCAACTATTAAAAATATAATTAATTTACATATTAGTAAAATAAAATAAACACATTAATGTACATTTAAATATAAGGAAATTACTAATACAATGAAACCTAACTTAACGACAACTCTCTTAATGGACAAAATTATGAATTCCTGGCAAAAAGATGAGATTTCCAAAGTATTTTTATTTGTCTATAATGGACCCTTTCTATTACAGAAAATAATAGTTCTCCCCGATACCTTAATAATGGACAACAATCTTAATTCAAACTGAAATATAATTACATAAATTTGTACTTATCATACAAGTATTGCTGATGATGACAATGTCGGGTACGATTAAATTTCAAGACAATTAATAACTCACAAACAATAATTATATATTTCTCTATCACTGATAATGATAATGTTAATTGAGTATATTTATAATTATGTATGTATGTAGCTATATGTAATATTTATTAATTTTTACTATTAGCTTTTATATGTTTACTTGTACACAATAATTTAAAAAGTTACTGGTAAAAGAAAACTGTTAATATTATCATTATTGTTAAAAAATGTTGATATAACATTTTCCTATCCAAAGATAAGATTAGTATTACCATTGATTATAAATACAATAATGTATTTTTTATTTTAATATTTTAATTTAAAAATAATTGTTTAATGCAAATGAAGCAAGCATTGTTTTTATTTTTTTTGGTGGCCCTTTAAAATAATTCCCAATAACAAAATAACTAACATATCACCCAAATTGTCTATTTTTAGATAGAATTTTTATATATATTATACAATTTTTAAATACTTTTTGTATTATTGAATAGCTAATAACAACACAATAATACTCAATAGTTGACATCAGGAAAAACGTTTATATTATCTTCAAATCTTATTCAACGTCACAATGTCATTATCAAATACATAATCAAAAAAAAAAAAAAAGGAAATAAAAATATTTTTTTAGATTTAAATGTTAAAAAAATGATATTAATAGACTAATATTTAACACTTTTTGTGGTTCATGTAAGATAAGGTGGGTGGGCCTTATAATTAAATATCCAATGCATTACTGCATGATAAGCATTAAACATTGTCTATATTTAATGGAATGTAAATGTTTATGCAATGCATGCAATCTTGGGTCAGGAACACATTTCCTCAACTATAGTTTTATTATAGCAAGGGTATGAAGATTGTGTCTCTAATGTATACTTTAAACCTATATTGTTAATATAAACATAAAGTAATATTATTTTTTTTGCTTACAGACAGTAAATTGATTTAAGAAATAGAATAGTTTTGTTAATTAAGTACGTAAGATATATAACAAATATACCTCTCTTAATTTGTTTTCATCATTATTAGCAGTCCTCTTTTCTAAATTTTTTTTTTCTTCAAGTTTTGATATAGAGGTATTGTCATTAGCACTTTCACTATCCTCAGAACTATTATGGTCAACAATTTGAGATGATTTATTGATGTATCCACGACATTTTGATGAACCACAATAACAAATTTGAGCACCATCACTGAAAATTTAAATAATTTTTAGAAGATTTAGAATACATATAAATATATAAAATTTAAATGTAATAAGTTTACCCAAAAACTTGAAAACTATAATCAAACGTAATTTCTTCACCTTTTCTAATAGGCCGAGTGCTAAAGAAACCAATACGAGATTGGCCCAATACATGCCACTAAAATCAAAATTAATTTGTATTTTTTAACTGTAAAATTATGTACGGCTAAATGTTAAAATTAATTATCTACATTCTGTAGTAAGAGTAAATTATAAATACATACACATCATCTAATTCTAATCTTTGTAAATATAATGGTAAAGATACAAAAATAAAACTTAAATTAACAAAAAAATAAACTACATATTAATGTCAGTATGTAAGAAATATAACTTATATTTAAGTGGTTGAAATTTCTTTTTTTTATAACTATTTATAACAAGTAGGAATAAATAATTATTAATCTAACAATTGTATGGAACTAAGGAAAAACATATTCATGTATAATATAGTTAAAACATTAAGAAGACAGGATTGAAAACTGTAATAAAAATATAATTATGTAGTAAAACAAGTAAGTAAAATACTAAATTAAAATATAAAGATAAAAAAATATTAAATAATATTAAAATATTACCTTTTCACCAACTGAATTTGGATCACAGCTATGGTTAATAAACCTAGTCACATTTCCTTTTGAAGTAGAATCAATAATTTCATCTGGATTTAATTGAACCATATAATTTAAATTTTTATACTCTTTTTTTGTTAGACGATTACACATTTCATTATAATCAATAACTTCACCAACATATTCACTAATTAAAACACCTCTAAAAAAAAAAAAAAAAAATGTTAAATTAAAACTAAATTCTATTAAATTTAAAATAAATAATATTTATATACTTAGGAATATCTTCAACAGCACAAATCCCATAACCTTTATTGGCAGTTTTAATAATATTAGTTTTCTTGAATTGTTTATTCTGAAATTGTTTATTAGTACAAAATCTTTTAAGAGAACAACTCGAACCACTAGAAAAAAATGTAAAACATAAAAAAGTTAGTAAAAATTTAGGTATAATTAATAGAATAATCACCATTCAACTTTGAGTAGTCGATTGAGACATCTATCATCACATCCCGTATTTCCTTCGATTATATCTTCTTTAGATAATGTACATTCACAATAATCGTTTATGTCTCCAGATATTACTCTATGATTAAAAAACAATTTAATTTAAGAATAATTATTAAATTGGTAAATAAAAATGCATTATACCCACATGTATTATCTTTGTCTAATACTTAACATGGCAAATTGTATACTTAGAGTAAATTATATTACTAAAATATTTTAGATTAAGTCAATTATCTTGTAATACTATTATTTATATTCTAATTGAATTAAGAAGACAACTCAGCAGTGACAAGTTCTTGTCAAGTGGTGATCAAGCGACATCAGTTTATTTCAAACCACGACAACATCTGTGATCTGCACACCTGTCGTGTAGTTATGAGGCTATGCCTCTACACACTAGAGTTGCCTTCTAAACTTAAATATAGTATAAGACTACAGAATAATTTTTATAATTTTATTTAAAAAAAAAAAAAATATGAGCATTTTAAATTTTACAAAAAGTTTACAATTTAAAAATCCAATTGACTTCCTTTAAAATGTATATGTTACCAGCAATATGTTAAATTCTGCATTATATAGAAATCCTATGTATTCTATAGAATGTTAAAAATAAGCAGAAAAATTATAAAATATAAACAATAACTATAAATTATCTAACCTCAAGCAGGAAAAATATATAATTAACATAAAACTTTATATTAGTACCGAAGTGTATTTTTGAAATTAATGATTAATGTTTATCTTGATGATTATTTTATTGCATACAACACATGAACATGTGTGCGATGTATTATAGTCATTATTAGGTAATATTATTATTGTTGTTCATGAGCTTTTTTTTTTAATGTTTAACGCATTGACTTATGCTTTATATAAGATTATAAAATTATATATCCCTCCCCCCCAGACAAAAATCATAACTACACAGCCAAGTAGGTACGTATAGTAAATATTTTTTGGCAATAAATTTTATTTAGAAGATTATTAATTTATCTCATATATTTATAATATAAAAATGAATAACAAAATATGAAAGATAAATTAATAAAAAATTTGACTTGTTGAAATAAATGGGTATTCAACTGGTTAAATTCCAATTCAACATAATATAAGGTCTCAATTCATAATATGCCAAAAAAAATTAATAATAAATGACCAAGTTCCAAGAAAAAATACATTTGTTTTATGCACAATTACAACTCTACAGTCTACAAGAACTAGACAAGATTTTATAAAAAGCACATGCAAGACAAAATTTCAATCTAAAAATTGTATGTGTGTAAAATATAATATTTTATGCAGTTTGAAATGTCATACATCAACTATTTACGGCAATAAGTAAATAATAAACATATTTTGATTTAACACATTACCTAACATGGTATTAGCATTCTATAGAATGTCTATATTTAACTTTTTGCTGATAACATATATATATTATAAAACTACTTGGATAGCTATATCTTTAACTTTAATTATAGATCAATTTAACCAATATTAAAAATATTAAAATTAAATTGTTTTAAATGTAAAATTGGCTATAATGATCATTTATAAACTTTTTTTTATGACATACAAGACTATAAACAACAATTTAATTAATAAAAATAAACTGAGTTATTGTACCGTTGTTTCAGCTTACGTAGCATAGAAATTTCAGAAGGTGAATACAATTTTAAAGTCAGTCTGAAAAAAAATAACAATAATAAAAATTAGTAAGGATCTTTAAATTTGAAACTAATAGAGAATAATTTTAATTAAATACAATCTGAAGGAGCCTTTAGCTTACTTAAAAATGATCAATATTTATATAGTAACATATTTGCTTTCAATGTTTTCATATAATTTGCACAAAAACAAAGAAATGATAGTTTTAAGAACTCCAAACGAAAGAAGTAATACATCTTGAGCATTTATAATTCTATTTTTAGTGTTAAAAAAAATTATTGTAAAACAATTAATTTTTAGTTAACTTAGACCTATAATAATAATTATTCATTAATGCTATAACTTTATATAGCATTTTCACAAAAGGTAAAAGTCAAATAATTATTAAAAACACATAAAATTAAAAATAAAATTAGTTTACAGAAACAAATATGTTTGATTAACATTTAATAACTTAACAATAAAATCATTAAATACATTTTATAATATTATGAGTATTTTGAAATGTTCACTACATACATTATAATTTATTATTGTTTACATTATTGAATGATTCAGTTAGCATCATATAACTAGTTATTTAAGGCACTAAAACTTTGTTAGAGTAATGATTATAGTGATTATACCATTTAATTTTTTTTAATTTGATAAAAGTTTTATTTTATATATATTTTATTATACTAATCTTTCAATTTTAAGAATTTTTTTTTTTTAATGAAACTCATTTATCAAATACAGGGAAAAATATAAAGAAAAATGTAATATGAAGCAAAAGTATTAAATTATTTTTTAAGTTTAATTAAAATTGTGAATTTCTTACCTATTAGGTCTGTATACATTTTCATCAACTAATGTAAAATTGGTGGCTCTTAATTTTTCATCAAATTCTGCATCATTGATTCTTGCTTCAATTAATTGATTTTTGTGTTCTTTGTAAATTTCTTCAGCTACCTGATTAAAATTAACTTCTGATCCTTTCAAATCATCAAGTATCTCTGCATAATTATTTTTAGGTTTAATTCTTTTGGACTGTCGTCTTTTTTTTTTTGGAGATTTTTTTTCAGGTTTTTGTAACTTAGAAGCGATCATAGAATTTTTTAATTGATACAAGTCATCAAAACTTTTACAACGTTTAAATGAATAATAAGGTTTTTTCAATACAAAATCACAACTTCTGGAACGAATTTCTCTGCGCTTACAAACAGGATTACACCTAAAATTTTCTGATTCAGATAAACAAATTTTAGATATTTCCAAATTTATATTTTGATCTTTTTCATTGTGTTGTTTTACACCTAAATTCAACTCATCAGACTGTTTAAGCTTATTTAAATTTTCTGTAGAATTTTCATTTTCTTTTGTAATATTTAATATTTTATTACTTAAGCCATCAAAATCCCTACAATTTAAATCACAGACATTTAAACAATATGATTTTGGGGAAATATTTATATCTGTTGTATTTTCTTTTTGAGCTAATTTATTATCTTTGCTTAATAGCATCTCATTTAAATGTAAATACCTAATAGCATTAGAAAGATTGAAATAATCGTCTTTTTCAAGTAACTTAATATCATCTTTTACATTGTTTGTAAATGAGAACTTAAACTTCCAAGGTACAGAGGCTCGACGAATAGGTTTTGATGGTAATTTATCAATTTCAGTTATATTGTTAACACTCTTTGAAATATTATCCCAATTCACGGAAGTATGACTTCTAATCATATTAGATTCTTGTGATATATTATATTTAATATTGTCTTCCTGATTAACAACAGCTGTATTAGATAATTGCCTTCTTCTTTGTTCTTTTACATTAAAATGTTTGTAAGAGATTTTTTTTTTACTCTGATTTGATTGTCTACAATTTCTTCTATTACTGGTATTCTTATGAGATTTTCTTAATTCTGAAGGATTAAATTCAGAACTATAATCAGTACTATCATTTAAATCACTTGTTGAAACATCTGTAATAGTATCAGACATATCTAATGAAGACTGTGACCCTTCCATCATCATTTCTATCTGACAAGATTGTGTCCATCGAGATTTAACTTTTACAGGCTTTTGATAATCCTCTGGAGGACTATTAGAAGACATTTTAAGTTGACTTTATCTACAAATAAATGTATTTTTTTCTTTAATTTTTAAATTGGTTGTTGGCTTATGAATTGAGTCCATCTGCAAAGAAAAATAATATTACAAAAGTTTAATTATATATTTTGTAAATTAAAAACTTGTCTTCTGTATTATTTTAAACAATTAAACAACATTTGGATATTGACTTCTCTTCTGAGATTAAGTCAATTGCATATAGACCAAGACAACATTATCAATGGATCTTCTAAAGTTTAAGGATTAATGTTTAAGAGCTTAAGTAGACATATTTCAAAATTGTTGGTAGCCTTATGGATCAATCTTATACTTATCAGTTACTGTCACTAAGAATTAACGAGGGGAGCCATTTATGAGTGAGGATGCATAGATCAGTTGAAAACTTACGATGAATCCTTGGAAAAAACTTTAAATAGGTTAAGAACCAGGGTTGCCAAAGCAAGAGCTATCATGAGAGTATTGCAAAAATCTTTTGATTTGCAATTATGGTTAGAACCAAATAGAAGATCATTTGTTACAAAGCAGACTAATTTTATCAAGACAGACTAAGTACAAGTAGGCATTAAATTAAGATCCTCGAGTTATAAAATATAACAATTTACTAGTCCTTGCGCTAGATCTTATCACTATTATATTCTTGTGTAAGATATACAGTGAAACCTCTGAATAGTGAACACTCTCGGTCGCCGAAATTTTGTTCGCTATTTAGAGGAAAACATTTTTTTTAATAAATAAATTCAATAATTTTATTTTATATTATTTTTACATTAATTAAATACACGATAAAACTAACATTTATGAAAAAAAAAAAAATCAGTTAACTAAATTTTTATTTTACTTTTATATTAATTAAATACATCTTAAAGAAATGTCCAAGAATGCCCATATTTGTATTTTATGTTCAAAATTCCAGAATGTCTATTTTTTCTTTTAGAGTTAATCATTTTCTTTTGCTGGCCATAGTGCACTACAATAAACATTTGTATATTGGCATCACAAACATAACCAAACGCACATAGGACAATACATTAGTTACAAAATTTTGTTGACGCGATAATATTTCAATGACTGAACGGATAAGATAAGATTTTCATATACAGTTAAATAATGTACACATAAGATAACTTAATAATTGAGGTTTTTATTCGGATATTTCAAAATAATTCTTAATTTAAGATAAAAATTATTAATATCAGTGTCATAAACGTGTTCGTTATTTAGTGTCCTGTATTTAGAGGTTTTCCTATAAATAAATAGTGAAAATGTCCCCGTCCCCGAAAAAACGTCAGCTATTTGGAGATGTCTGCTATTTAGAGGTGTCCGTTAAGGGAGGTTTCACTATATATATATATCTAGTAATAAAATTATATAGCATCAAACATAAGATAACAAAGCTATAATAATTTTCAGTTATAACTACTGACATTTAAATAATAAAATCAATCAATTGGTATATGCAATTAATCTGGCTCAACTATAAAAGATCTAATGTTTAAATGTCTTGGCCTAAAGAGCTTTTTAAAAATTAATTTTTATTGAAAGGTTTATATTATTGTACTCAAAATATGAACATAACCTAACTTAATCTTTAGGTAAGAATTAAAAATTGTTCCATATAAGTATATTTAAGTATGATGTTGAATCTAGTTAACTTTAATAATAACACTTAAATATAATTTGAACAGATAAATCAAATATATCTCACAGTTAAAATATGCATTATATGTTCATATTGTGTATATGAATACAAACAAGAGTTGATAGAAGCTGATGCTGAAATCAAATATTTCATAATTAGCAAGTTAGAGTTTTATTTATTAATTTAGTGGAAGATTTCCAAATACTCACTTACAATTATGTCTAAAGTATTCACATCTAAGTCTAGGAGACATCAGGGAATGCAAATAAGAAATAATATAGCATTACTTACTAGTTCAATAATTTAATTATGAACTCAATATTCAATGAACTACGAGTCTACGAAAAATACGGCATACAGATAATAGGAAAAAACTGAAATCGACTTATAGTAAACATATAACAGGCGAATGTAAAAGTAACACTTAATATAACAGTATGAGAATAATTCGATCACAGAAAATAAAAATGACGCTTATCAGTTATCAAAGTAATGATTAATCATACTGTTGGAAAACTTCATTGCCTTATCTGAGAATAAAATTAACTAACAGCGCTTTCATACGAGTAAAATTCAAACTAAATTTCGTTCATTAAGCATACCAAAAACTATCTTGATAAGGATTTTTAAAGTAGTCGAGCAACTCCGAGCCAATCCGACCTTATCCCCTGTAACCACGGTCGTTGTGGTGACAGCGGTGTTGAGTACGTGGGTTGGGCTGCCCATTTTTAGAGATGCATTTTTTTCTCGTCGCTGTTCGGCCGTCCGTCTGTGTGCTTGTGCGTCGCTGCGTGTCAATGCGTATTTTGTACGTTTATAGCAAGTGAGAAGTGAGTCAAATGACCCGTTTGGTGCAGTGTCGTGCATAAAATGACGTAAAGTGTTTCTAAGACGCTAATTTTTTTTTTTTTTAATTTTTGTTTAATTTTGAATTCCGTTACTAATCAAAATCCGTTGAAAATGCTCAGGCAAAACTATTGCTGGCACTTTAAAATACTATCGGAAGCGGTGTAAATGAGTGTTCGACGAAGCTGACACCATTGCTCCGCCACCGTTTGACAATAAATATTTGCCAGACCACAGCCCCAGTTACCATTGAGAAATCACTGCAGTGTGGTGCTCGTATACACTATATTCACTATTGTGCGTAAGTACAAATCTGCCTTAAATCGTAGGTACTTGGATTGTTTGGAAACTACTCTCAATATTGTCCACTTTGTGAGTCATTCAAGAACGTACCAATTTTTTTTCAATAACATAAGATTAATTTTAACAGGCATATTATTTACTGTTTCCAATGTATACCTAGTCGCAATTTTTTTTATTACTGATTTTAATACAATATTTATTATACAACTAATAAAATATGATAGCACGGTGAGCATACCAACACTTTTACATAAAAATATGCACACATAAATGATATGAATCTAAATAATACAATTTTTTATACTAAAACCTAATATTTTAGTCTACATGATTGATCAACTAATATTGACATTGAATGTTTGCTAACTTAAATGGCATTCTGTAGGTAATATATCATTACAATTGAATATTTGATTGGTATATCACCTGCTTTGGTTTTCCTTTTAAGTATTTTTCAATAGAAATCTGATAAATATATTTATAAAAAAATAGATATTATCTTATATTTGATAGGAAATTTTATTAAAATTTAGAAAATGTATCAAACAATTATGTAAAAAGAACATGGATAGTATGTAATTTCAACTAAATTTTAAGGATGGAGCCAAAGCCATTATATTCTTATAATTCAAACTTGCCCATAATTATCTAGGTTTGTATATGTTAACCTCAGTTTAAAAAACATTACTATAATTTAAAATAGGGGCTAATTTAGTGATGTGTACTTAAACATTAAAGAAGACAAGTCATCTAAATAATACTCATAAGAAACACTAAACAATATTTATAATGCTATCTAAAATTTTTGTAGATTCATTTGATACTTTCTGTTTTATTTAAGTTTGTTATTAAATAGATAGGTACCTATAGCTAATTTTATTATTAGGCCCTTTAAAAAACAAAGTATCTTTAGGTGCATTTTTTATGAATGTAAATTCTTGAATAAATAACAATTACATATCATACTATTCTATATCATATTCGTACAAATGTATAATAAAATTGTATCAAGTTCAATATTATACAGCTAGTTTTAAAATAATATATTAATTTGAATAATTTATTTTAATTGTTCTAGTACAGATTATCCCTTATGGGTATAGATATATTTATAAAAATAAATAAATATATATTTTTTAATGTTAAATTTTAAGAAGTAAATTTTGGTGGAAAATTAAATAATAGTAAATTTAATATAGTAATAATTATAATAATAATAATAAATAATATAATTTCATGTCATTTTTAAAATAAAAATGTGTATAGGTATCTATTTTAGACAACTGATATTTTTGGATAGATCTTTACAGGCTTCTTATATTAGCAATTATTAAAATGCATAAATAAATCTATTTCATTTTATGATAAAGAAATATATTGATATTTTCACATAGATGAATAAATATTTAACAAGCTACTAAAAGAATTAAAATTGATATATTTGTTTTCATTGCTAGGTAATTGATTTAATAATAATTACCTATTATACATAACTTATAAATTTTCTATCCATTACAAAATTCAGGACAAAATGTCTATTAAGATAATGGCTTCAAAATAACCTGTTGAGGTACCTATTAATGAATATTTAAGGTATACAGTATACACAGTATATAATATGAAGAAAAAATAATACTTACAAAAAAAAAAATTTAATTATTTCTTATAAGGTTAGTAATTAATGAATAATTATATTCAATATATATTTAATAGCCTAGTTTCATTAAAAAAAATACTTATATAAGAATAAAGTTAAATGTTAATATTATTAATCTTTCAATTGGCATAATATAATAATATTTAATTAATATATAATGTATAAAACTATAAAGCTTAAAAGAATATTACCTGTGACAATACCTTTCAACAAATAAAATAAATATTAATAATGTTACCTACCTTTGAATTTTATACATTTTTGCTAGGTTTAATCTAATCTGGTCATAAAAACTCAGATCATAAGAGTAACAAGTTTAAAAATGTAAATAAATATTTAGCTTAAAGCTTTAAAAAATTTAATTTCCTAATCATGGCTTTTGAAATAAAAAACAGCTTAAGTAATTTTTATTAAATGGGCATACCTTTCCATTAATTTAAAGTAGGATTTTAGATATTTAAAAAAAAAAAAATACTATTATTATTAAAATAAAACACTGGTTAATGTCAAGAATAGTTTGGATACTCAAATATCTAGATAATTAAAATACATTAAAAATTTTACTCGTATATATATGTATTTATTATTTATACTTTGACAATGACATAATGACACAACAATTTACTTGTTACAACAATTGGCAAACTAATACAAATATTATACACCAACTGATATACTGAAAAATTATTTAATTACTGATATCACGTACTTAACCATGTATAGAAAACAATCCATAATCTCATTTTATAAATTATAATATGCTGGTTTACTGTAAAAAGATTGGGAAGCTCTAAAATACTAGACTTGTTTGTAGAAGTAAAACTTTTAGTAATATTACTCCCTCTCCCTTTTGTAGTATTACCCACTAAATATTTTAGAACTTATTCAAACAATAATGAATAATTACAATTATAGTTTTTCAAATATATGTTGAAGTTAAATTTTCCAAGGTTGAAAACACTCAAAAATTCAGCGATAATAATATTATTATTTATTATATGATTTACTCAATGAGTAAAAAGTGTTATCATTGTCACTATAAAGATTATAATAGATGTATAATGTTATGTGTATAATAGCAGTAATTAATATGGCTATAATTTATATTATATTTACGGCGCCTTCACTCTTTTCGACCAAAAAAATGATGGCTCCAATGTTTTTGCTTTAATCAATTTTCTAACAAAAATATATTATAGCTAAGGATAATTATTCTAGTAAACGTTATTAGTTGGCTCAGCACCACTATTATTTAACTTATGTATAATGAAAATGTTTAATTATTCGCCTTCATTTGGGATATAGCATTTCTTAAACCTAAAATAAAAATTAAACTTCTATTTAAATATTTGATCCTTGTTTTGTAGGCATTAGGTTTTATGAATCTAATACATTATTATGAAGTAGGTCAAATCTATTATTAAAATAAGCTGTGTGAAAAATAAATAATTTGTTAAAGTATTTTTCTATACAATTTTTAGTGTTTATAATTGTTTTAGGATACCTACATTTTATTATTATTGTTTTATGAATATCTAAGTTTTGTAAATTAATTTATTATGCTTAATTTTCCTAGTTAACTATCAAGGTCATAAAATATATTTTTAATTTTAATAATTATTCAATCTATTAGTATTTATGAAAATAGAATAAAATAATTTTTTATAATTAATATTAAATAGAATATAAAATATATCAATAAAGTTAACAAAATAAGTACAAATTATGTTGATTAATTTAAATGATTTGATGTTTTTATTAGAATAATTTTTATAAAATTCAAGAAAATACAACTTAATAACAGCTTACTAAAACAGGAAAATGTAACCTGTTATAAAATAGTATTATGGTTCTAAGTACTTAATAATATCTAACAAAGATCTTTTATGTGTATTTTATCACCTTCACAATATCAAATGGATATTGAATAATTGAAACAAAAGTACAATAAATATACCATTATACAAGTTACAAGTTTATAAATTATTAGTACTTCTAATTACTATAAAGTATCTTAACTTTTATAAATACAAAAAATTTCATAACATATCTACCTTTTACTATAGTGATGCAACTAGTGAAACTGGGTTCCCAGTTGTCAGCAATCGATTCCTAATTTAAGTATTTTGATTTTTTAGACTTATCCTTTCATATAAAATTTAAGGTCGATCAATTGTAGATTTATAAAATTCTAATATATTTCATGTAACCAAATAAATTTTTCAAATTAAAAAAAATATGATTTGTTTAAGTGTTAAGTTTTAGTTTTTAATTTATATGTTTTTATAACATACACAATTTATATATTACTATTAACTCTTATGATGTAGTTTTGTTTTTGTGACAATGATCCTCTTTTGTAGAACGGGGAAGGGAGAGAGAGAGAAAAAATAGTTTGAATTTAAATTTTGGTGATAGTATCTGGCAATAGGTTGTATCTAGTTAATGTTTTAGGAGATCAAAAGTAATAGATTCCAAGTATTTTTCAAAATAATTAAAAAAAAATCAATAACAAGTTAAAGAAAAAAAACCGGAATTAATACGCAAATCCCGTTTTTAATGAAATTAATTTTGTTTAGTTGATGACTCAATAACAAATTTTCTAAATATTTTGATTCTACGTTATTTAAAGATATTTGAAATTTTCGATATGTTTTTTAAATGATTGCCGATAATATATTATCGCCGAGTGATAATGCTTGAAAATTTACAAATTATTTTGTTTGTAAATGGTTAGAAATTTATTTTTATTTCTAAGATTTGAAATGTTTATATAAAATTTCTCTACCTATAACTAAAACAAAATGTTTACTAGAGAAAAATATTAATTATAAGGATGTTTTGAAATTAAAGTTTTATGATATTGGGTATTCTCCCGCAATGGGGTTTTTTTGAAATAAATGAAGTTAGTAGTACTGTATTGGCTGAATGAAGATTTTTTTTACCTTCAAAATCTGATTGGTTCTAATAATTATTTTTAGAATATTATCTTAAATGTAAAAATAAATACTCAAGTTATATATTTTGCAAAATTCTTTTACTAATCGAAATGTGTCATCGTTTTTGAGCTTGTCGCACATTTTTCACACTCGAATCGCTGACTAAAATAAATTGGTGTGATTATAGATTAATATTACAACTCTACAATATAAATGGTGATAAAAATTATTTAATTTCGTTTAAAATACATGGTTATTGATTAATTAAAACAGTGTTTTACATTATTAACTAGATAATAAAAAATAATGAAATAACAAATGTTTCAATGATTTTATTCATTATCATAAATTTAAGTTGTGTTACTCTTTAGGTACTTAATAAAATGTGACTTTTATACACGTTATGTCATAGTAATAAAAGAAACTAACTATTTGTTTATTTATATTTTATTCTGAAATTCTGTTTTTTTGGTTAGTGCAATTATTATTATACTTGTATCGTTAATATTGAATTCACTGTACGTCATCATACTTAAACAACATTAGTTTTATTTATTAAAGTTTAATCCAATATTTGCTATCAAATAACATTTTCAATTTATTTTTTAAAATGTAAAAATTTTTCATTTAAATTTTGAGTTGATAGATAATGGAATTACACTAACGTTGAATATACAGATATGGTTAAGTGTGAATCAAAGTTAATAGTGGTTATATTGAACAATTTTTGTTGATAAAAATTGATTTTTAAAATAACATTTTTTTGATTAAATTTTTTTACAATTAAACTTCTGTGTTAATTAAATGTTTATGTTAAATGACAACAAATAAATTTCAGCACTGTTAACCTTGCAATTTTTTTAGTCGACTACTCAAGCTAGTGTGAAAACGTGCAATAATCTCAAAAACAATGTCATTCGTATAGGAATTTCACAAAAAATACAATTCGAATATTTCTTTTTAATTTTAAAAATAATTTGAATAAACAAATTTTGAAAAAGAAAGGAATTTCAACATTTTGTTATTTTAATATTTGTTATGAAATTTATGAATAATTAATACAGAAATAAGTTTTTGTGGGTTTGGCTGGGGCTCTATGCTTCCAATAATCGACACTCCCAACCCTTCCGGTAGTTACGTAACAGTGTTTTATATTTTGTAGAACATTAGGTGGCATAAATAATTTAAAATTTCCTATAATCATTTTAGTTCCATATATCGAATGGCAAATGAAAATATTATTCATTAGTTTTTGCTGCATAGGATAAAATATATTTTAAATGTTAATGACTTATGCCATAATGATTGGAATGTTGCTCTGCTTACACTTTTAAATTAAAAATTATTTATAATCGATTTGATAATTTATACCTATAAATACTCTTACTTTTAAATATATACTGCAAACATATTACCGATGGTTAATATGTTTACGTAGTGTAGATAACAACTATTGTTTTAATATGGAAAAAAAATAATACATAATGCCTTTACCGTTCGATCTAATGGAGGGTTATCAAAATGTAAACGGAAAAAGAACTCCAGCTAACCTATTAGCCTAATAACCCGCATCGTCGGTAATAGCGCTTGCTACTAGCTTCTGTTATTATATAACTCACGCCTGCGCCAACATTAAAAGGTAAAACTAAAATTAAAACTATCTTCTCCCGAACTATGGCTGGTATATCGTATATTCGTGTACGACGTTGTCATATTGCCGTACACACGCAAATAACATTTAAGTCGATATCGATTTAGCATTAATAATCTTTAAACGTCTCTCAAATTTGATAACTAATAATCACGGCCGTTTCGTGGGTTCTTTGGTCTAAATTGTGTTTTGTAGTTTTGCGTTGGCTTGTTACAAAAATATGATATCGCATAACCGTAATACACATGCTACAGTCTCGTACGCACACACTTGCTAACATACGTAAGCACCGGATAACTGTCCATCAAATCCTTATAAGGCTGCATGCGGCCGTTCGACTAGTATTTTTTTTATATTCCTTGCTGTATTAGTACGCGAGTACGCGACAACGGTTGGAGGTAGAAAAATAGTTTACACCTCTTCGTCGCTGCAACCTTTAAAGACGAGTAGGGAAGAGGAAAAAAAACCATTCTTTTACCCCTTTCTTAGTTCATTCTCGTATAATCATCACGTATGACGTGATCGTCCGGCAGTAGTGGGGAAGTGAATTCATGTATATTTTTATCCAATGATTTCATTGATAAATGTGCGCGCGTTTTATGAGATGAATAATCGCCAACACAGAGCAATTTCCGGCTCACGGCCGTAGAGAAGGAAACAGAGCGACTTTAGGCGAGCAAAAAAATTAAAAGATTTTTCTCTCATTCCCCCTATTGTATTGGGAAGAATATAATTAAAACGCTACAATAATTTAGCATAATTCATACAGATTTTGCAATGTGTAAATTACTTATACTTCTTTTTATCAAAAAAATTACTAACATAAATTATAGTTATTTTTTTAATATTATACAGATTAAATGTAACCTAACCTTTTTAGAGAATTGAATATAGAATGGTTTTATGATTAGTACGCAGCTTGAGTAGCATAATTACAGCTTGACTAATATATTTAAGGATGGAACCATTAATATTAGTGGATGTTTTTGAAATACAAAGCATAGGATTCCTAAGGGTTTTTTCCAAATTTATCTTCCATAGTTTAAAGGTAATTAAGCGGTAGGTATTAAATTGGAATAAGGACTTCTAAGGTGACCTGAAAGAAAAGAGTTATTAGTGAATTATTAATAGAGCCAGCGTGGTGATCATTGCCAATAATAGTAAGTACCTACCTTTAACCTCCAATACAAGCAAAAACTCTCGAAGATCGTTATAAAAGATTGAAAAATAAATCAACTCTTAGACTCGTTCACCTCCAAACTTTTATAAAACCAACACTATTGGATAAAATTATTCAATTTTTGTGATTTTCGTACCACGAATAACTAGAACCTTTTAATAATACTAATGTACCTAGCTAATTTTATTCAATGAGACCTACCACCGGCGTGATGAAATTTTCATAAGCGACTAATCGCAGACTCGCAGTTAGACTAGCTATTTTGATTTATTTTCTATAAAAGCTATTGATCACTAAATGCGTTGTATTCAATGGATATCGTTTATAGCTTGTTATCTGTAGGTTTAAGTGTTTTGAATTTTCGACGATATCACATTATCGCAACGTGGTTCTATCCCGGTGGCGCTGGATTTCGATTGTAAAAAAATTCGTGTCATTGTATAATAATAACTAGTCCGACGGCAGTTGCTGCAGCACGCGGCCGTGTGGGAAACTGGGAACGGACTGGTTTTTACCGCGCGCCCACGACATAAAAAGTCAGCAGTTTATTGTTGTATAGGCGTACGCGCTGCCACCTTGTCCGGACCACGCCGTCGTTGCCGTCCTCCTCGCACCGCCACCCAACCCAACCGCTGTGTCATGCCGAACACATGTTCGTGTTTTTCGATCATTTGTCGGACACCGACGTGGTCGGGGCAGCGTGCTGATCGCGGACTCTACTTTTGTCGCGCGGCGTCGGCCTTTTCTAAGATGAACGCGACGTTTGTCGGCTTCGTGGGTCGTATTTGGCATGCTGAACGTCGCATATGGCCACGTTGTAAACAGCGATCGAATCATTATATCTTGCAATACTCGCCGGATGGGTTGAGATTTCTTTAGGGGGGGTAGGGGAGTCGTGAAGAGGGGTAGACCTTGACAGCGCATTTCTGTACGGCGGCCGTCGACGCCGTGCAATGTTAATGAGCCATGTAGGCCAAGAGACGAGCCGCACCGGTTCGCATTCCTAATTTACTACCAAAAACTCAAAACGTGCAGCATGAGAAAAATACAACGAAATAAGGAATACGATAATATATTAATATTACATTATTATTATTATTATTTAATAATATATTATTTAAAACAGTTTATTGCGATTAAAATAGTTCCGGAAGTAAATATTAATAGAATTTATACTACGGCATAATGAACTTGTACCGGATGGCAATATAAGGTTCGTTTCGTTCTACGTTTTCGTATTCTTCCGAAAGCAATACAGTATATGTTTGTCCTGTTTGATGAATACGAAAATAATCGACTATAAAATGTCAAATTTAACGTAGGACGTGAGCGAATTGGTGATGACCAGTGCAGGAGGAGGGAAAGGGTTAATCCATCAAAATCTCTTATACAAAACATTTCTTGTTTCATAATGCTTCGTATATAAGTTAAACGTGTATTTACTACGCTTATATAAATAGCAGATAACTAAATAGTAAATTCTAAAATTATTAATTAAATTATGACCGCACTTATTTCAAAATATTGCAATTGCTGTGTTTTTAGAACGAGCTTAACGCGACGTTTCCATATTTAGTTTTCGATCATTCTATTTACAAACGCATTATAACTGTTATCATCCGGTACGTTATTGACGCGTGTATAATAAAATAAAATGGTACATTTATTTCTATCAATAATATCAATGCCAGGTGTTTTTTGATTATTTTTTATGTAAATTTCAAATTTACGTTTTTTTCGAATGTTTTTTATGACTACACTTTTTCAGTATTCTTAGATTTTTATTTTCCCTGTGTCCTTATTGTAATTCTTCATGAACTCATTTATTTAACAGTTAAACTATGCATAATATATTACTATTTTACCATGATATCTGGTTTATATGTTAAATGAGTTGTTGGTTTTTATTTAATTTGATTTCACCTTTTAATCTTTATGATTGTTTTTTACTTATTTTTATATTTTCAATTAATTTTTACAGTCTTAAGTTATTGTGACCCATAACTAGTTTCTTTTTTATATCTCTATTTAACATCAGAACATAGAAATATTATTTATAGTAGGCGTAGAAAAGAAAACACACCTTTTTACAGAGGTGGATTATTATTTTTAAATAAAGCTTATTGACCAAATATTTCAACATAGTTTTAAAATATATTTTATAAAAATAATTTAGTTAAAAAATATAAGTATAAATATATACATCAATTGTTGGTTTAATAAAAACATTATTAAATATCGATGTATTTAACACGTTTAATAATACAATTAATTTTACAATAAAAATTGTTTATATTTTTTTTAGATTAGAATTAAGACCAAAATGAATGAAAGACTAATGATGATGATGTTGACAATTGCCTTGTTGACACTTGGCTTTTGTTATGCAGATGAAATACAACAGCAATTAATTAAGCAGAATCCTTGCGTTCTTAAACAAACTTGTCATGAATGTATACAAACTCCATCATGCGCTTGGTGTGCACAACCGGTACGTTTAGCAAAAATAAAAAATCATTAATCATTAATGTTTGTTCTTTGTTTTGTCAACAATTTATATTAACAGCATTTATTAAACGCTAATATTTACTTTTATTATTAGTTTTTTCATTTCTTTATAATTTATGCAATTGTATTTTTTATTTTAGAAATTTGATGGAAAACGATGTTTTCAATCAAATATTAACTCTAACATGGTACAATGTAATGAACGCTATATTAATAATCCAAAAAATGAGTACAAAATACTGGATGCCCGTCAACTTCAAAAAGCCAGGAAAAATACACATTCTTATACTTCTAGTAGTAGTAGTAGTAGTAGTAGTTCCAGCAGCTTTTCTACTTCAGCTTTTAAAGGATCAGCATCGAGTTCTACACACGATGCTGTACAAATTTCCCCTCAAGATGTATCTCTTAAGCTTAGAATAAGTAAGTTATTTTCCGAATTATTGTATTTGTTTAATCTGTGTATATCTTCATAGCAATATTCTTGATTTTATTTTTAGATGAAGCCTATAGAATGTCTGTGAATTATGCACAAGCTGAAGATTATCCTGTAGATTTATATTATTTGATGGATTTATCTAACTCAATGGAAGATGATAAAGAAAAATTATCTGCTCTTGGAAATTTATTAGCTGAAAGCATGCGGAATATTACGTCAAATTTTCGTCTTGGATTTGGTAGCTTTGTTGATAAAGTTGTCATGCCATATGTCAATACGATGCCAAAAAAGTAAGTTCATTATGTTATTATTTTTAGTTTTTATAAATTTGTTTGTACCTACCTATAAGTATAAAATGTATTTTTGCGTGATTTTTATTTGGTTAGAGCTGATTTTCCATGCGAATTCTGTGATCATGCATATGGTTTTCGTAATCAGTTGTCGTTGAATTCGAACACTGATTTATTCTCAGTAAGTTGTTGATATAATATGAATTCAAGGCAAAACGTTTATAATCTATCCACGAAAAAATCATTGTTGTATATATATGTTTGGACATCTATGTTGTATCTATTGCAAGTATATATAGGTGTCTATTTGGAAATTGAATTTTATTTTTTTTAAAGGAGAGTTGATAAATATGCAAAAGATAAAAAACATTAGTAGATATGTTGTGTTTCATAATGACATGATTAAAATTAATACTATTTATTATTTAAATACATTTTCTGATATACAATTCCTTATTATCTAAATACTATTATTTCAAAAACAATTTTTCTGAAACTTCATGTGAGATGAGCTAATGTTTTCTTTATCCCCTCCATTAATACATTCCTTCGATGAAAAGTTACATTATATATATATGTGTATTTTTTTTAAATTTTAAACAATATTCATTATTATTAAACTATTCAAGATCATAATTATGTATCTGAAAGCATGGATTTTCTCTTATTACATATTTCTCTATGATTTGACGACAGTATTTTTATTTTATATTACTTAACATAAATAAACAATAATTTTACTGAGTAATTAAAAATTTTTAAAGTAATGCCTTACAATAATTGTAAATAGTAAATGTACTATTGGTTTAAAAACAATACTTTTAATTGTAATTTAGTTAAAATAAAATACTCACATAGTTGTACAATTTGTATAGTATGTATTTGCATGACTTGTAAGTTCAATGTGTACAAGTTTATCAGTGTTATTCATAGTTTATATAGTTTAAAAATAATATTCCTTAGCTTTAACATTTATATTTGTTATATATATTTTTATTCACGCACTAGGCATCTAGGCAAAGTATGATTTTATTCTTCAACTTAAAATAAATATACGGAGTATATTGATTTTTAATAAATTATAATTATTGATAAATCATATTCATACCCATTTAGCTATCTGTATTTAATAAGACATATAATTATTGTGCACATAGTAACTTGCTATCATTTTATGATTGTATAATTATTACAAAACCTATTTTGTAATAAATTTTTGTGTGCCTGTATAATATCCAGCTTGCTGAAGCCATGTCCTCGTTGTGAAGCTCCTCCATACGGATATCAAAATGTCATGTCTCTCAGTCAAAATACTGCTGAATTTGCCGTAAGTCCAATTAAAACTATTCAGCATCATTAAAAATAACTCTTGACCAAACTTTATTTATGAATACTAACATAATATAATTCTATACTTTTAAAATTTCTAATTTTCAGAAATGTATTATTACAAGAATAAGTATTTTATTTTTAAAATTCAATTAAATTTTATCTAACATGCCCATTTTGTAATATAATTGACTTACAGCTTATTCATAAGTTTTATTGCATGATTTTATGAGTTAAAATATTAGTTTTGTAAATAAATGCATGTAAAATATTTGTTTGCTATTCATTGATTAAATCTAATATTTGATTTAGGGTAAAGTCGAAAGAGCTAAAGTTTCAGGTAATTTAGATGCACCAGAAGGTGGTTTCGATGCTATCATGCAAGCTATTGTCTGTCGAGAACAAATTGGTTGGAGGGAGCGCGCCAGACGTTTATTGTTATTCTCAACCGATGCTGGATTTCATTATGCTGGTGATGGAAAGGTATGATTGATTCCTTATTACTTAAGTTACATTCTCAATCATTAAATTATACATTATATCTTTAGCTTGGTGGCATTATCAAGCCAAATGATGGTGCTTGTCATCTCGATGATAAAGGTAGTTACACACATTCATCTTTACAAGATTATCCATCTATATCACAGGTAGGACTATATTGAAATATTAATAACTTATATAAGTACTTGTTTAAATTTTGAAGATAATAAATAATGTTTTAGATAAATTTAAAAGTAAGACAAAATTCAATCAATATGATCTTTGCTGTAACGCGTGAACAAATACACGTTTATGAACGTTTAATGCAACATATTGAAGGAGCTTCATCTGGTATTCTATCTGAAAATTCTGAAAACGTTGTTGATTTAGTTAAAGATCAGTACAGTGTAAGAAATATTTCATTTTCTAATTAATTATTACAATATATGTATTGTATGCTTTTGATCTTTTTAATGAAATTTAATTAATTTATTGATGATTGTATTACAGAAAATATCATCTTCTGTAGAAATGCGAGATACGGCAACTAGTGCTATAAAAGTCACATATTATTCAAGCTGTCTTGATAAAGATGGCGTGTTAAAACAGACAAATAAATGTGATGGACTTAAAGTTGGTACAGTAGTCAATTTTCAAGCTGAAATCGAAGTAACATCATGTCCACCAAATCGCAAAGATTGGAAACAGTCTTTTCAAATTTACCCTGTTGGCATTAATGAATCATTAACTGTATCATTAGATATACAATGTGATTGCGAATGTGAGAATGTTGGTCATCCTGTAAGTAGCAAGTTCATAATACCAAATAATATAGATAAATTATTAAATATGTGATTCAGGATTATGTTGAGAAATCACCTGATTGTCGTGGAGCTGGTACATTAAAGTGTGGTGTTTGTGAATGTGATTCCATGCACTTTGGTCGTATGTGTGAATGTGATGCTAACAACAACCGTCATGCTAATGATACATACATGGTATCGGGATGTCGGCTGAACAATGACTCGGAAATAAATTGTTCAGGTCGTGGAGAATGTAACTGTGGCCAATGTGATTGTCAAGCTAGATCTAATCCAGAAGAGGTAAAGTTAATCTTGAATATAAATTATTTAGGTTTATATAAATAATAATATAAAATATGTTTTTAGAAAGTTTATGGTACATACTGTGAATGTGATAATTTCTCCTGTGACCGATCTGGTGGTGCTTTATGTGGTGGTTATGGTACATGTGACTGTGGTGTATGCAAGTGTTTCCCAGGATGGACTGGTGAATCATGTGATTGTCGTGCTACAAACGAAACATGCATTATGGATGGTAGTGATGAAATATGTTCTGGTCGTGGAAATTGTGAATGTGGTCAATGTAAATGCTCTGAAGAAAACGGTATAAGATATTCAGGAAAATACTGTCAAAAATGTCCAGTAAGTTGTTAAAAAAGTGTTATTTATTAAATTATTATTAAATTAATGTATATTTTAGACTTGTCCAGGTAGATGTCAAGAATTTAAAGATTGTATTCAATGTCTTGTTTATAAGACTGGGCCTTTATCCCCTGAAGAATGTGAAAAAACTTGCACAATTAAACCAATTATAGTAAAAGTAGCTGAAGGTAAAATATGAGTAATAATTTAAAAAATATATATATATTTTTATACTTTATTTTTTTATTTTTTAGCTAACGAAGACAAAGATGAAAATATGTGTTCATATTATGATCAAGACGATTGTCGTTTTGCATATGTCTACACATATGATCAAAGTGGAAAGATAGTAATTCGAGCACAAGAAGAACGTGAATGCCCTCCTCAAGTTTACTTTATGGGTATATGCTAAAATTAAAATATATAATTGTTTGTATGCATTGATAGTTAATTATTGTGTATCGTTTCAGGTATTATATTGGGTGTGATTGGAGCTATAGTATTAATTGGAATGGCTCTTTTGCTCCTGTGGAAACTATTAACAACAATTAATGATAGAAGAGAATTTGCTAAGTTTGAAAAAGAACGTATGATTGCCAAATGGGATACAGTAAGTATTAATAAATATTAAATACACAAAACAATTATTTTTAATTCATTAATATTTTTCTATTTTTTAGGCTGAAAATCCAATCTACAGACAAGCTACATCAACATTTAAAAATCCTACATATATGGGCAGATCTTAATATCCAAATGTGTTCAAAACTACATGTTGTATACTAACAAAATCTTAAACACATATTGTTTGTCACTCGTTTTTAGAGCTTTTGTGAGAAATTAGAACACGTGCCATAGATGTGTAAATTATAGTAAATTAACACTTGTTTTTTTTTATATACCTGAGAGCCATGAATTATTAACAAAATTGCAATAGAACTCAGTAACTTGTAAATAAAGATTCATTCATTGTCAATGTTTAATTATCTGCAGTATTATTATAAGAAAAAAAAAACAATTATTACTTAAACATGTTACTTAAAAACTTCCTAATATTTATTTTTGTTAAATATATTTTAATTCCTTTTCTGTATATTATTTTCTATTTTGTTAATATTTTATTTTAATATTATAATAATTGATGTATACATAATTTATTTTCTATTCTACTTTTAAATTAATCAACAGATCTCTGAATTTGAAATCGAGCTTAATAGGAAACAATACAATTAAAATATTAATTATTTTTGTCTAGTCTTCCATCACTAAAACCACCAGTGAATTTGAACTTAAAATAAATTAACTATTTTTTCCATAATTAGAAATAATAAACATCGAATTTGTGCCTTTAATATTTATTAGTACTTACATTTAAAACAATTTATAAATATTTATGCATAAATACTATTTAATATATATATATATATATATTATATAAACATAGTGCCTTAATAATAATTGTTTGCGTGCTAATTTTTTTTTTTTGCATTTTATTATTGTATCATAACATTAACGACTGACTTTTGAAAATATATTATATATGAATAAATACAAATCGTGTAAAATATATATTATTCAACTTGTGGTTTTTTTTTTTTCATTATTAACGTTTTTCCAGATCTAATAAGTAGCGGTCGTAAAAAAATAAATAATATGTATCTACTCACGGTAAGAAGACAAGACACAAATAGCAAGTCGCAAAGCCTAGGCCAAATAAAATTGCTAGGATATTAAAAAATTTACATTCAACTTGCATATAATATCCATTCAATTTCATCATTTAAAATTAATTGTTAATACAATATTGAAACAACATTTTTTTTTTTTTTGCTGTCTGGGCTCGAATCTCACACAGGTGTCACGTGTTGTCGTGTTCGAGGTCCGAGTGTGTGAAAATCTTGCACAAGGTCACGCGATGCAAACCCTGCATTGCTATACGATACGTGATATAACCGCGGACAAGCTCGTTCGGCGGCTGTGCGAGAGATACGCGAAAACCTCCAATAGCCAAGCGTACCTACCACACGATGAGTGTAGCTCTTGAGATAACGACTTGAGGTATGACATGGTATCCACTCGTCGCCGTCGGTTAGAAATCAGCAGTCGCTTTTAGGTTACGCGCGACAGTATACTTCTTACGTACATGTACATATTGTAATTGATTTGTAATATTATTATATTTTATATCGGTCACGTCACGTAAACGCAAAAGCCCGTTGTTCGTAATTGTAGTGTAACAAAACGGTGAACGCATTATTTACCGACCGCAGCCATGTACGCTTTGCAGACAGTCGGCAGCACGACCAGCTCCGTCAAAGGTAACGACAACGCCGATATAATTTATACCTAATTATAATTACGATCGAATAGCATACGGATTATTCCCGTAAGACGGATATATACGTATCGGATTGGGTGTGCTGATCCCACGGAATTCGATTTATATTTTTATGATTTATTTTTATCGTATGCAGATGACACGGAGGTCTTAGATTTGGACGACGTCGGTAACTCCATAGTCGAGCAAATCATCACCAACAGTAACGCCGTCAAACGCACGGGGAACATAACGGCAAGTATGTGATCACAGATTAATTATTAAAAATTTTGAACGCCCCGACGAGTGATCGTTTTTATTGTATAATGTCTGTAGCATATTATATATATATATATAGATGTATTTAAACGATGTGCCGTAGGTGTGCGGGGACGAGTGAAGTAGCTGCGTTCTTACCCATCGATGTGGGCACTTGAAACGAAATCTTATAATTTATAATATTACTATAGTCTTATGGCATATCTATATCCATATATTTATAATTTTATTACTCTCTCTACTCCATTTTGTTTCGTCATTATAAGTACTTGTACTTTAATTATCAAAACAATATTCTATTTTCAATGTACAAAAATAAGTTTAACCTTTTTAATAAATGATTTCTATAATGTCTTGTAGAGGACGTCTGGACGTTACACCAGATATACTAATATTCATTACCCTATTTATACGCATAACGACATAACACACATTTGTAATTCCAAAAAATATCTTTCAAATTTTGTTTTAGTTAAAACATACATGTATAGAAAAAATAAAATAAAACAACATTCGTGACCGTCCGACATTAAAGATAATTTTTTTATCCAATTATTAAATATTCTACATACTTTAAATTATCGTATACCTCTAAACAATTGGACTTATTTTTTTAATGAATAAAAATATGTTTTTCGATTTCATTTCTTGATGGTATACTTTTTAAAAGTCTTCCGAATTCTTATTCTAAATAACTTTACCTATTTTTTTTTTGCTTAAACCCAAATCACACGTTCGTTATATAGGTAGAGGTAGGTACTACAATTTTATTATTATATGTGATTTATGTTCGATTTTTTATTGAAGAATTTGACTATTCGAGTGTTTTAAATTCCGAATGTATGAAACACTGAAAATAAATCTAAGGACGTCGAACTTTTCCGTGGTTTTATGATTATAATTAGCTAGGATCTATAATTTGTAAATAGATAAATTATAATTTAAAATCTCTAAGTTGTATTGACACGTTATTTTATATTTTGGTCTTTTAATTTATACCATAAATCTTGTTAATATTTATTAACGCTTCTTAGAAATAAGGGTTTACATTGATTGCTATCCTTGAAATAAAATGAATTAATTTTTTTACTTTTTTAATTTTTATTAGTAAATATACAATCTATTTACTAATTTTACAATAAGAATATGTACTATAATACAATAGGTACTTGACTCAAGCTACTCGATAAAAGGAATAACCCTTCAGCAGCTATACAAAATATTTTAGCTTTATGTATGCTATTTTTAGGTATTTTAAATTTTTTATTAAATTTATAAAAGACAATGTCTGTGGATATGTTAACGATCCACATCTAAGTTAATCGCATTCATGTGGTTCTAAAATTTAGTAGATAGGTATACTGAGAATATGCACTTCGCAGTCAATAATATTTTAAAGAAGGGACTCCTTATGGAATTGTTCACTTACAGAAAATAAAATAGCTATTACATTTAACGGAGTTTAAGAAAAACTATATTCATAGACATTTAATTTGTCTTGAACAACGTCGTGCATGATTAGCTAATTCATTATAAAATAACTCATTAAATTCATTAATTTTTTTAGGATTATTTTCATTATTATGATTAGGTAATGACTAATGAGTCATTATAAGATTAATAATTATTCATCAAGGCAACTTTTCCCACACACCTACCAAGTTTTATATATGTATAGCCGCTACTGAGAGTTAATAATTAAGATATACGACATTTAGGAATAAAACTTATTAGTACATTTTTCAGGTGCATGTAAATTTCACAGGTACTTTTTTAATCAACTAAAATAAATTTAACTCCACCAGTAATTAATTATAGAACAACACTTCATTTTTTACCTAAAAATTATAGTCAGACCGTGTAGTAAAAATATATAATCACGATGTGTTTAGAGTAATATACAATTTACAAAATTTAAAGTTGATCGTATTCATAATACACTTTATATGGCATCATTTCATAGGTGTTTATATGATAATTTGGTTGTCAATCCTAATTCTAAAGCCTATAATAGCCATAATTAGGAATATAAATTATGAACTAATGAGATAAGTTCTTGAATTAATATTATTAATATATATAGAATAAGGGGCCGTTGTCCATTTCTTATTATTATTTTCAATACCATGTAAGATAAATTATGATAATTACTTATGTAAATTAGCAAGTTCGTAAAAATGATAGTATAATTGTTTTTATTATAAACTTACTATCTGCTGGTTGACGTTATCACTATTAAATAGCCAATAGGCAAGGAGTTAGGTATATTGATGAAAATAATACTATTGTGGTTCCTATCTTTATAATTGTATTGTGATACTTAATGAAAAAAAATTGAAAGAAAAATGGTAGATAGGTATATATATAAACTTGCCATATATGCACCGCTAGGTATCAAATTAGTGCAGTCGTTCATTATAGTGTTATTTCCACGTAAACTAGTTGCATCATGCGTAACGAACTACTATAAAAATTTGACAATAATAACAGTATTTAACACTCACCTACCAACAAATTAATTGAAACTGGGTATCAGTAAGATTAAATTAATTTTAACATACACAATAAAATACCACTTATCCTTGCTTACCTTAAAAAATTTATGACTTATGTCACGCCTTTATTGTGTATTCGATTAATCCACTATTAAAATTAATATTGACTAATAATTTTTAAGAAAATCAACAATAATCATTCGTTGTCAATCCTATGCCTGGAATTAGGAAATGAATTGTAAATTAATAATTAAGTCTTAATTGAGCATACCTATAGATATAGAAAATGTTATGAATACGGCCCAATTTCGAAATTTGTAAATTGTACGAGTATATTCAATAAAAAACATATACTTGTATACGGCTGCACCTATAGAAATATATAATATTTTATTAAATAGATTGTGTGATAAATTTGACTAGTTGAAATAATGTGTATACATTATAGACGAAAAGAAGTTGTTTAGGAATTGAAGTACTCATGAAACAAGATCTTTTCAGGAAAAACGAGAATTAAATGGATGTATTGATTAAATGAATGATTTAGTTCCCTGTGTCTAATAAAATGCGTTGTTCCTCAAGAAACAGTTATCTCTCTCTCTTACTGTTACGAATGGTATTCATTTACTTCCTTTAAAAAACCAACTAATTTTCTACACAGATGATACTGTAACTGTGAAATTCAAGTGACTCATGAAATAAGATATTTAATGTAGTATAAAAATAGATTCAAAATTAATTTAAAAAAAAAAATGGTTAATTAAAAATAATTTATTTCTAAATTGAAATAAGACATGGATTGGTTTTTACATCTTAATAGATGGTGCGTATTACCCACTGAAACAAAAATAAAAATTCATAATGATCACCGTACACAATTAAACAAATGCTGTTGTGAATTAATAAATACAGAATACAACATTAAATATTGAAGTATTGGAATTAATATTAATATGAAATGGAAGATCCAAATTAATCTACTAAGAAAAAAAGCTGATCAAAGTGATATATATAATAAAAATACTTAAAGTTCTAGAATTACTTAAACTGCGTCAAGTTTATATAGCATTCTCAGGCCTTAAATAAAGACAACGCGGGCTACAAGTTAAAAACCCTTTTCTATGCCATATCTACGTTTGTGTATTGGTTTTTTTGTGAATGTAAATAATGTGATGGTTGACATATAAAAAATAAGCGGATTATTCTATACTAACTTTATGACATGCTTAAATTTTGGTAAAAACGTTTATTAATTTGAACTGCTTCTATAGTTTAGTAGGTTGTAATTTTTCTGTAAGTATGATATAAAAGTACATAGATTGGTAGGTTCTAGGAACACTTGGTTTCTGTATTCTTATTTTCCCCTTTAAGTTGATTTTGACAAAAGATGTGTTTACATTTTCAAAATGCCTGAGGAGAAAAACAGTTACATATAATATTGTTTGTATTAAGAATGTAGACCGATGTAGGAATATGTTTATACAAACTTATGATTAGTCTTAAAATGTTTGATAATTTTTAAATATTTAATAATTGGTTTCAGATGGCTATCAATCGTCTCAAACTCATCCAGCGATACATAATTATGGTAAAGGACATATTATTACACTTCTTATTCTTATTTGTAAGTCGGTTTTCAATCATTGAGACAATTTATGAATATTTATACCTCTAAATGTATTCCTTTCCATTTATCTTCATAGGAATATTAATAATTCATTTCGACATTGAAAATATTAAAATGTTACGTAGTGGTGTTCGTGTATAATATACATGAAAGATAAAGCCACTCAATGAATTAATTTCTATTTTACAAAACAATAATTAATAATCAAATATCATTTGATGATTTGTATATAATTCCAGAGCAAAACGTCAAAAAATACAGCACTGGTTTGTGTTTTTGGACGATATTTCAAGCTGTCGGACTTACATGCGTTGCCACGATTATTTGCCGATCTATCATATATCAACACGGATATTTTGAGGTGTCTCCTCACAGTAACTCGACGTCGATCACTAAAAACCAATTTTCCAATTGGCATTATTCGCTTAGCACAATTGGATTCATATACCTCTATGCTAACTGTAAGTGGTTGCTGGCAATTATCGGTCAACTGTTAATATATTATAATCAAATGACGCTAAAACGCTTTATCGCGTTTTAATCATTGTATGAAAATAAACCTAAGGTCTACTTTTCACGAATTAAACGTTGCAATCTTCTGTTAAAATGTTTAAATTCGATTATTTTAGGGGGTATGGGGTATGGGTGTACTTGAGTTCCGCTTGATATCAACAAACTACGAGACTAAACAATTATTTGAGATGTTCAAGATGAATTTTAGGGGACTTCAATTAATTATTTATATTTTTTTTTTTGGAGGCTAACAAAGCGCAATTATTTCGTACAAAAATTAATCATTACATCACATAGTTATCATAAATCTTAGACTTAGATGGACAATGTATATAATTCTATAATATATTACGCAATTGTTCGCAGCGATTTTCATGATAAAATCTCACAAATCCAAAGTGTCGTTACCGTACGTGATGTTGCACACGTTCGCGTACCTCGTGTCGGCCTTGGGGCTGTGCGCCATGTATGTGCACAAAGAAGCGGGCAAACCCGAGGGTAGTGCATTCTACGAGGGCCATTTATACTCGATACACTCTTGGACCGGTATATTGGCGGCCGCCATGTTCACGGTCCAATGGCTGACTGCCGGCGCCACGTTCATGATGCCATGTCTGCACAGCATAGGGTTACCGCTGGGAAAGATGTTCAGCCTGTACACTACCATCATGTCAACCATCGCCCTGATTGCCGGACTCAACCAACACGCCATTAAGACGTTGTAAGTATGATGACGCCGTGTTATAGCCACTGGCGGACTTGAGACTTGATCTTCTTCTATGGTTCATTGAGACGAATCAGTAAAAATCCTTTGCCGCTTCAACAATCCCTCTCCGCTGATCTCTATCCCATCATCCGTTGCCATACCGATGTTTTAAGTATAGCATCGTTCATTCACACCAAATATCTTTTCACTGTGTCAGACCACCACTCTCCACTTGGATTTTCCATCAGAACTTTCTTTTTGATGCATCCTTTGGCTTTTGTCGTGCAAGATGTTTAAATGTATGCGTTATTAATCAATAGTTATATGTATGATAAACGGTCCACTTGGTTTCTTTGTCTTGGGTAGATGTAATACGTAGACAAACGTAGGAAGTTTACGGATACGATATATGACTATTAAATGTTGATCGACTGTAGGTTACAAGTTGAGATACCATACATATACCACCTAACCTGCCGTGTAATAATATACATGTATTTATTATATCTATATTAGAAGTTTCAATTGATATAATGGTAACAAACCGCTGCCATATTAATAATCACTTGTAACTTGTTCACACTACTCTATCACACTATTGAGTAGTTACACTAGTTACAGTATTGTTCTGTGGTTAAGTACCGAGAATGTTAAAAAACAAAAAACAAATATATAAAATAAAACCAACACAACGGAACATACCTAAGTAGCATTATAATGTTTACTGATAATCAATTGTTTGCATTGTTGTCCGTATCGTGTGTACCTACGATAACACTTGTTATGCATTCAATTCATTTTTTATTTTTTTCTGAAAGTTATCTAACTATTTTTATACGAATACTTTTCTAGAATTTTAAAAATATATTAATACCTATTGTGTGTGTTTTTTTAACGTAATTAATTAATTACGGAGGTCTAACTAAGAGGGTTGTATATCCATTGATTCTATTGAACATAAATATGAATCTCAATGTGAAATTGTATTTTAATTGGGTGTCGGCATTAAATTGTTGTTTAGTTATGACCTATAATAGTAAGATAAGATTATCTATAAATTATATTATAAATTATAAAATAACAATAATTTTGAATACTATACGTCTTAATGGCCTCTAATAAATTATAAAATTTTGAAGAAGCTAACATTTTTATTTCATTTTTAAACTCAAATCTAAACAAGTTTACTCGTATTATTAAAAAAATATTTATCCTTTTGTAATTTGAGCAGCTTGATAAATGATAACTTACTGTGGACTTGGTCGGTGATACGTTTGAAAAATATTTTGGGATTTTTTCACGTTGACATTGAAAAATAAGATAAGCAACTTAACTAAATTATTATTGCCTTATAATACAAAAATTCCTTTTATTATATTTTTATCTCGTTATATTTATTATAAATTATATCTGACATGTTTTAATTTAAAAATTCACAGAATATTTTAATAAAATTAATAATATATATTACTTTATTATAATTTTAAGGAATAATAAAATGCTAAACATCTTATTGCGATTGACAACTTAACAGTTAATATTTTCAGAAATAAATGTAATGAAACAAAATTACTTAATTATGAATCTCCTCTAAAAATTAATTCTATATTGAATCTGTATAATACACACCAAGTACTTGCTCATAACAGTTATAACTTTATACACCTAGAACTTAGTAATTTTACAGTAGGTAGTTACCCAGTTTAATTTAATAATAGTTTTTGATACGACATATTTCACGCATACTTATTTTAAAATATTTCATACATTAACTTATAAATAAATTGTTTTTAAGTTTACTCCGCGGACTAAATCGTAACCTATTTAATAACGTTATTACTGTCTTTACGATAGTGTAGATTGTTGGAGATAACATACATACAATCTATAATTTAAATATCGGTGAGTAGCACGATTAAAGATACCATTATTTTAAATCGTAATCAACAGTAGTCAGTGATTATAAGTGTTTATTTTTCTTCGAGGTTTAAAATTTGAATAAACTAGTGTTGACTAAAATAATTTCCATCTATTATTATATAATAATAAAACGTAAAATGATACTACGGACCATCAATATAATTTATTAATATTCCTACGCTCTACACGACTACATAATATTATAAATTATTAAATTATTGCCCATTGAGATATTATTGTTTATTTTATATTCAGCATAATAATATATAAAATAAAATGTATGTGTACAATGTTTTTGTTTCAGAGCAATGAATTACAAAACGTATTCAATTGAATCATTAGTTTTGAACGGTTTTGGATTACTCGTAATAATATTTTTATTTTTAATTGGTTATATGGTTATAAAACCTTATAGAAATTAAATGTTTTAATTTATTTTTGACTTGACGTACTTATGTATTAGATATATATCGTATTGTTAATTTATATATTTTATTGTATTCATTAACATTGTTAAAATGTATTCATATTAAACATTAATAATACTTTGTAGTTAGGATTATGTATACTTTTATGCATAAAAAGTTACTTTTTTGCATCTTCATTAAATTATATTATGATTATAATTTTTTTTTTTTTTTATTGTACTTTAGAATTTATCTTTTGATTTATTTTTAAATATCATCTTTAATGCAGTTATCTCTATATATTATATATATATTAAAAATATAATACGAATAATATTTCATAGTTCATACTTTACACTTTAGAAATTTAATAATATTAAAGATAGGCGGTATATTATAATTTATATTACATTGTATGTTTATATATATATATAAATCTTAAAATTGTCTATTTCAAATGTAATAATATTTTAAACTTTCTATAAATATAACTATTAGGTATTGCAAGAATTAGTTGATACGGCAAACGATTTACAAAATGGTAAATAGGTATTTAAAGTCATAGAAAGGTTGAAAATTATAAAGTATCTTGTATTAAATTTTCAAGTTTTTTGACCAAGTAGACAATTATTTAGTGATATTTATTGATTTATAGACTATAAAACTAAAAAAGGGAGAATCAAAAATTTAAATTTCTATACATAGCACAAGAGGAGTCAAAATATTTTGAAAATATACCATGTATAGACAATGATAGTATAAAATTCTGGTTGTCAATTCAAATCTCTATATGTTTATTTGTGTAAGTTATAACAAAATAAAAAAATCAATTTTGTCAAAAACTGATTTAGCATGAAATTTCCCGTTTTTCCTGATTATTCAGAAAAAAACTTTTAAAATTTTTACTTTTGATCGGCCAAAATACTATTTATATGCAATTTTTAACCATTCCCAAAGTTGAAAATCAGAGCATATTTACTGCCCCCCCCCCCCCCCCCCCAAAAAAAAACAACACACATCAATGTATGTAAAATCAATACATTCATCGCTTTACTATGAATCTAAAATCATAAAATTCAAAATTATTACTAATAAAAGCTAACAACGGATTTATTTAAACTATAAATGCAGGCTTTTAATTTCAAAATCTTTTGCAGCAATTTTCACACGTAGGTACACTAAGTTACGTATATTAATACAAATATAATAATATATACTTATGTATTGTTGCTATTGCTAACCATTTAGTTTTGAAGTATAAAATATTCATGTCCATCTAATTGATTATTTCAATATCATTCTAACAAAGAATACATCAAATAAATAATAATTATTAATCATTTCTAAAAGCATTATCATTCATCACAGAAAAACACCATGGTCCATGCAACCATGCAAACTTTTACATCTGATACTAAGATATAGCCCTTTTCAAAAGAACTGTCAAATGGTCAATCATTAAAAGTCATAACAAGTTGTGAATTATACCACACATTTCCATGCTGATTGCAATTTATCGCCGAGATAATTTCTGGCGGAAACTATGATGTAGATAGTTAAAACCAGTCGCTCTGTCACGGTGCAAGACGCAAGAGATTCTGGTCGAACCTTCTACACATAATCCGTCACCTATTGTTCTGGCTAATTATAAAGATCCGGGAATGGAAAATTATATTCTAATGGTTAACGCGACAGTAATGGCACCAACTACAACTGTTGAAATCCGTTCGCGTTCACTGTCATCTTCATCATCGATGCTGCAGATTTCTGCGAAGCCAAATAATAATTAGATACGGCCAAAACGGATGTGTCGAGCCATTATATCACCGGTCCACCAAGTAGACAGAGAAATTCTATTCTAAAAGTTGCAATACCTACCTGTGATGTATGAGTATGAATAGACAAGGGATGGTCTAATGAGGCTCTCCGTTGTCGGGGAGAAAGCCGATTTCTCTAAGGACGTGGAGGCCTTTATTGGAGCCGCCTCCGACCCTGGCTGTCTTGACCACGTCGTCTTCTCTCGCCAGTGCATGAGCACCAGCCAAACTATCGAGTGCATGAGCACCGACAAAATTACAAGTGTAGGCGCACCAGACAAGCGAGCAGGAGCTCTACTCAAAAACCACCACACACCTCACACACAAGACTCTGCAGTGAGCGACAGCTGGACTTCTTTCTTTTTTCTAAGTTTAATCAGTGTTGTTTTTCTTATTTAAACTTAAGTTTTCCTTAAATCGTATCGTAACTTGTATCACCTTATACCTTTCTCCGAGGATTGAGGAACGTACTATAAGTATTCACTGCGGCGAATCAGGTAAGGTGCATGTCTAAAATACTAATTGTTAGTGCAGGTTCTGTTACTATATAATTTGTGTAACGGTGTATTTGATTATATTCTTGAGTCACGATCTCGAGAACCCTCCGAAGAACAGGAGGAAGGTAATAACACAAGAACAAGTATATTCAATATTTATTAATACCGGACTTACATACAAGAGGCTTGTGTCCCTTGTGTCAGTCCGGCCGCTTCATACTTATACTTTTTATCCTATTTTTTATTTATTTTAAATTTAAACTTTGATTTCGCTTTTTTGTGTTATTATTAACATTCATATTAAAGACGATTAAATATAATTTTTTTGAGCAATACAATAAATTAAAGTTGCCTTTACCATAGGTACTCATTTAATTATGTATTAACTGATTTAAATATACTATGAAGAACAATGAACATAAGGATTTTTCAAGTTCTACTTTGTAATTTAAACAAAATTATGGGCAGTTAACAGTAAAAATAAATGACATGCAGAATACGCAAAATACAAACTTATTAGGTACTTACAGATAAAACAAATAAACAAAAAACCAAACAACATTTGACAATTAAATGATTAAAACATGAAATTGGTAATAGAAAAATAAATATTATTATTATTATTATTTGTATATTTTGCTTAATGGCGATAACCACCAATAAGAAAACTAGTTAGGCTCCTTGACCTAAAAATTACGAACTGTAAATTATTTCGTAATTCAAAATGTATAAAATGTTTCATTTTTATAGCTAAGGTTTGAGATTTTAATACAAAGTTGCTCATAAGTAGTTCATATTGAAACAGAAAAATATTATAAATAACTAATAACAGAATTTTCATTTTTTTTTTTTACAAACATTCGAAGTTTAATTTAAGCGAAAAAGTATATTTAAGTGAGAAATAAGGATATAAGTAATTTTGTTATAATTGAAAAACATCATTATTATTTATAAAGATTTAAAAATTTTATGAAGGTATTATATACATTTTACTGTATATAATGACATTTTAAAAATATTATATAAACTGACACTGTTTTTAAACCAATACCTGTTTACTAAGATAAGGTATTGACACAAAGGTTAATAAAAATTATAACATAATATACTATTATAATAATAATTGAATATTAATAATAGGAACTTTCTGCTGCACCAGTGTGTAGGTTTATGCTCAATAGTAGCATTACAATTTTACTTGAATAATTGTTTCTATGTGATTATATCTCAGTAGTTTTGGGACAAACATTAGTAAAACTAATAATAATTTGCTATAGGTTCTATTTCAGTAAATAATAAATCAAAGATTTTATTTGCAAATTGCAATTATTCTATTGCTTTCCAGTATTTCTAACTATATGTTTCTGAACTTTATAAAATTCCATTGATGTGTCATATAAAATATTCATACAAGTTCAAAGAATAATTTTACAATTATTTTCATTGTGATTGTAAATAAAAAATTTGAGGTTGATAAATATAAATAAACAGTACATTGTTTTATATTCAAATGAATCAAATGTATAAGACCATTAAATGCCAAAGATTGAAGGATTAAAATATTACAGTAGCTGAAGGACTGAAGTTAAAATAAAATAAATGACATACAAAAAGTAAAATTATAAATAAACTGCTTAATTTTTGTTATTAACATTTTCAAAATAAATAAAATAATAATTATATTATAAAAATCAAAACAATTGTAATTTATAAATAATATAATAAATAATAAATCAAAATTAAATTGCATGTTATTAAAAACTATTATCACAACTAACATCATAGATCAGTGGTTACAAATAAAATAAATATTATGTTAAATATAATTAGTTTTAACAAAGTATGATTATCAATTAAAATATAATAAAGTAATAAAGTTTATTCATATAAGTATATTATAATTAATTGACATTTTTGAAAATAAAATAAAAAAACAATATTAGATACATACTTTGGTTGGTGATCTATTTAATTCAACTAATATTGACTTAATGTAAGTGTAATACATTATTTATTCTTACAATTAATATATATGGAATTTTAATATTCTTTGATCTGGTGTTATGTTTAGTCATAGTATTTAAATTGGATGTATACTCGAACCAGAAGCTATACAGTTAAACCATAATAAATTAATTTTACTAGTGTAGTAAATAATTATTCATAAAAATATGACAAATTTGAACACATTGTTAATACTGTAAAAATGTATAAAATATAAATGTATACTGATAAAGAATAAAATCAATTTAATAATTACATATAATATAAGTTTATAGTAAATCATATTTATTCAAAAATTCTAAGAACTAAGAAATAAATAAAGACTTATTTATTTTTATGGAATAATATAATATAGTAATCATATGAGTATCTAATAGTTATTATGAAATTCTAATAAAATATTAATATAAAATAATATAATTTAAGATTTAATAGGATATAATAAAATATGACAATTTGATAATATTTTATGTCTAAAAATTAGATAAAAATATAAACTTACATTATGGCCTGAAATTCTTTAAAAATGAATTACAAGCAAGATCAATTTCTTTATGCTGACTATCCTTAAATTTAAGTGATTTACAAAATACATTGATATCTCGCTTAAAAAATTCTAATCTGGAAGAAAAAATAATGACGTATTAATGTGATATAATAACTGAACAAATCAATTAACACAAAACATATAACTTAATACCACACCACACAA